GTACGCTTTTTAATGCAGTAGTTATACGTATTTGGAGCACAACGCCTAATGCCCATAAGAGTAGGATGCAATACCTTAAACTAAATTAAATCACTTAAGCTGTATTATTAGAAGATAAATTTGTTAAATGAAAAGAACTAGATATTGCTCTATTAAATAAGTTCCATAGCCATCAAATTCCAGGTCAAAGATCCAGTGTTTGGTGTGACCAACGGTCGCGCAAACCATTTCAACGCGCAGAAGACGGGCTCGATGTCCGAGATCCCGCGGCAGCAATTCTACGACGCGTACCAGCCGGTTGAGCGCGTCACGCCGATTTCCCACCGCTTCTTCCCGCCAAAGCCGGCACGGGGCGACAGGGAGCACGACGAATAAACTACTTTCTATTTTGCACACATACCGTTGTTTTTGGATTTGTAAATTATGAAACAGGCGTTGATTTAGCGGTTGAATTATTTATCTTTTTTTAATAAACTTTTTTTACGCCGCAAAACAGTTAATTTCGAATGAAGAAGCAAGAACAAACAAAAAAATCACAAACTATTTGGACGAGAGCTTCAATTAACGCGTGCAATTACTAAAAAACGGCCGTTTCCTCTTTTCAAAACATTGTATTACTCCATAAACCATTAATATACGCCATTTACATCCCAAACTTTACAGGTGCAGGGCTCCTGAAAAACCATCATTTCCACAATGTCGCGTCTCGGGAAGCTGGTGAAGACGGGCGCCGAGCTGGTCCCTCGACAGGTATCCCGGATTATTCCAATTAATAATTCTAATTCAAAACCAGATGACTGCCGTCAAATCGGCGAACAAGGAGCAGGCACGCCTCTCCGTGCTTCAGGTCTACAAAGAATTGTGGGTTTAAAAACGCTGAACTTTTAAAAATTATTTTTGAAGTAAGATCTAAAGCATATTTTTACAATTTTATTGTTCATTTTTTAGGCAACGGCTGACCCCGAGCTTTTGGTGGGACTTCGAGATGACCGATATGCCGCTTCCGGTCTTCCGCGCCGCGCTCAAGCAGCAGTTTATGAAGAATGCCGACATCCAGGATGTGCGTATCGTGGATCGGCTCGTCGGCGAGGCCCACCAGGTATGAAAATCTAGTTCATAAGAACGCGTTTTTAGCACATTTACTCCATCCGCTACGCGTTCTACAACCCCGACCACGTGCGCAACTTCTTGTTCCGCGAGAACGTCGAGCCGAAGCCGAAGGACTTCCTCAGCAAATTCCTCATCGGCAAAGATTAAGCGCTTCTTTTTGTGGTATTTTGTAACAATTAACTCTTCTTACGATGTGATTATTATAAAATGCTTGGCTTCTTTTGATGAATAAACGATTGTGTGTATGACGTTTCCTCGTGAAGAACTCTCAAGGCGCTTTCGGATGAATCAATCGTTACAAAGATTTACAAAACGTTTATGATCTTCCGGCCATGAAAAACTGCTGAAAATACTATAAAAATCGTTTTTCTTATCAGGTCTGAGCGGAAAGATATGAATTTCAAAGACTTTCAAAACACATGATTTTCTAGCTATAGAAAATACCAAAAGCATTAGTATGCTTTTATTGTCAGGTATTTGCGGAAAGATCGTAATAACCCTGCTAAGCGGTTGATAATATAAACCATTTTTTGAGCATTTTACACAGTTTCTACATAGAAACAGCGCAGAAAAAAACAGAAAAGTTTTCGCGATTTTTTCAAATTCAAATTTTCGAATTAAAAAAAATGTTGAACGTAAGATCGTAAGTTTGCAGCAAATGCGAAAAACATTTAAAAACACAGCACTTATTATTTTTCGTTATACGGAATGCACGGAATAACAGAGTTGATTTCTCCCCACTGTAGCACCATTTCGAACAAGCAGTGATCTCTTTTGCGTCGGCCATCGAAAACGGATACCCCGATCGTCAGCCACCTAAAAGTGACCATTGGGGATCTTCAAAGGTCACTCGGTCCGCCAGATGGCTCCCACGGGCCCTGCTCCCCCTCGACAGACCACTCTCCTCCTCTGCCCTCAATTCCAAACATCACTCGGCCCGGCGGATTGTCTGCAAAAACTGTCCACACTCACCGTCGTCCCGCACGTTTTCACAGCTATGGCCCGGCGGGGACGGGGCGAAAAGGCGCTCGAAAAAGACTTGCTTGGTTAGTTGTTAGGGCAGGGGTTTAAGAAGACCGGAAATAACCGTATTTTCCAACGGTTCCGTCCTTTTCTTGAATATTTTCTGGCCCCAAATTTCGCTGTAGGAGACGTAAATCCCAAAACAAAATGATATTCCAATATTGCGTTTCCGGTTTTGTACAGAATTTCCGGCGCTCTATTCTTCTTTATGATTTTCACGATATGATACGATAATTATGATGAAAACAGCAAGTCTAACCACATAATAAACTACGGTTCTTTAGGATTACCGGGGGCGATCAAATTTTTCCTGGCGGTCCCGGTTGACCTATTAATCAAATATCAAGTGTTTCCAGGTTGGTTTGATTAAATTTTAACTATATTTAAAGTAGAAAAACTTTCAAAAAAGTGTTTAAAATGTTTTAAAAAGTCGGAATATTGATCATTTTGGGTCTTTCCAAAAATTTGTCCCCCCACCCTGGTAATCCCAAAGAACCTGAACTACCAATATCGCGCTCCACCCGGCGGCGCTCGCTAAAGGCGCCTGTTACATGGACGCCAAAGTTGAGCCCCTGTGCCTGTTCCGACGACATTATGCAAAGGCGTTTGGCCCCAGAGCTCCTCTTTCCGCTTCTCGTAATTTACGGCCAAGGGAGAGGGGAGGCTGCCTCGGCGATAACCAACGATTTCTTTCTCCGGCCTGCCGGCATTTGCATCCGAAATCGTTTTTGGCGGACCCGTCCCGCCACCCGGGGATTGCCCGCCAAAAGACCGTTCACGCACTGTCCCAGACCCAATTTTTTCGACGGGGGAATAACCCCGGGGATTTCCATGATTACCACGTCCAGGGGCGGCATGTATTTTTGGGTTTTTTTTGGCTGACTGGCCCGTTCGATGTAGGGAGTTGGAAAAGAATATAGGATTCTACTATATTAACGAGAGATAATTTAAGGAGTAGTTACTCGGGGGGAAATCTGAACCTCAAGCTCTTATCGTTTGATTTTTGAAGCGAAATTCGAACTTGTCCATCTCGCTGACCCTACTCCTATCAACCAAAATAGGCTCTTTATCAGCGGAACTCCGGCCAGAAGCGGTTCTCGCTTTTTGCGACGAATGAATTACGTAGAGCTCCGCTGAGCTCCTGGAGCGAGCTATTAAAAAAAAATTTCTGGCTTGGAACGACGGGTCAAATTTTGCAGTAAAAGTTTACCACGTTTGTTCAACTGGGTATAACCGAAAAAATCAACCTCACATCCCCTGTTTTTCGTGTACTATAAACGGGGATTCCCCTCCACCACGGAGTCGACCCAATAATCCTGGCTGTTCATTGATCCGCTTTTCCGGGGCGAAAAGGACCGGCCAGCCGCAAACAGTTCGCACATCGGCTTTTGCCCGCGGCTTGGGAAAAAAGGGCAAACACCGTGTCGGCTTTTCAAATATATTCCTCGAGTCTCGCTGCAAAGCGCGGGAGAGGAGGGGATGGACAGCAAATTGGCTGCGCCTGCAGCATTTTGTCAGGGAAAATCATTTCTAGTACAAAAAGGGATGCTTTAGAAGTCTTTCTAGCGTTAAATAACATATTTCTTTTAAAATACGAAAAACTGCTGAAGAACTCAGCCTAACCTTGCAATCACCCGAGAATAACTCTTTTTCATCCCCCGCCCCTCATTTCCGCTTCTTTGATCAATTGGCTCGCTGACCGGTTCGATTTTTCCGGTTTTCCGCTGTCCGCCCCTGTTTCTGGGTACAATAATGTACAGTTGGAAACGGTGAAATGGAAGTTTTGCTAATTCCCATTTGAAGCTGTCATAATGGCCGTTTTTATAAAATTCTTTGTTTCTGTTTCTTTTCCTAAACTTGCTTTGGGTTTTTCGATGGGTTGATAAGTTACCATACCTTCAAGTTTTCTTCCGCGCTCTCTCTCTCTCTCTCGCTCGCTCTCTCGCTCTCTCGCGCGCGCTCTCTCTCTCTGTCACGCTCTCTCTCTCACTCACAACTCTCTCTCTTTCTCTCACTCTCTTTCAGAATCTCACTTTTTTAAGTACTGACGATTGTGCGCTATTAATGGTTGATTTTCTTGAAATCGATATCTAAAGTGTCCGATCTTTTGATATCACCTTTAAAAGCCGTCCGCAGAAATCTGCTAAAAGCTGCTGTCTGGCTCCATCTATCCCTGGATCCACACTGTCGTTGATAGGATGCCGGCGGAAACAGGAAGTGCCATCATTGTCTCCTCCCCATGGGCTCTTTAGAAAAACCTCTCACTTTCCTAACCGCCCTGTCAAATCATTATCGCCCCAGACCATCATAGAAAATGGGAGTGTGAGCGATTTTTGAAAGGCAGTGATTCATTTTGTGCCTATGGAAATGACTATAAATATAGAATAATAGCGAATAATAGTGTATAGGTGATGGATGGATGGCTCTTTGAAGGTGCGGGGCAAAATATTTATCTGGGACGTTTTGTTGGGACAGATGGCTCTTCCTGGAGCTGTTGGCTTGAGTTTTGTTAGGAAGCGTCGCGCGGGGGGTAAATTTGAGCCGTTCGACATCTTAATTTTTGTTCTTTTTAAGGCCTATCTTGCTTCATGGCTTTATTAACAAATCTAGATGGTTTACCGCAGTTATTCGTCATTTTTTCTCTAAAAGCTACAGTTTTTGCCATTTTCAACACCTTGGAACCGTTAAAATTTGGAACAGGAGCTTTTTTCTTCCTTTTATTATCTTAATTTTATTCCTTCTTTTTCGACAGGGTATTTGTAAATGAATGACAGATATTGACATTTTTTAACCCTTTTTTTATCGGAGGCTTCGTTTTTCGTTTCTTCGCGATCGTTTATCGCAATTTTTCATTTTTTTTTCAGAAAATGGCTTGGTGGCTGACGAATCGGTATCGGGCCATTGTGGTGGCCATCACCTTTCTATGCCTTACCGCCATTAATTCCAACTACATCATTATCAATTTCACGTTTATTTGTATGGATAGCGACATGAGTCATGTGGTAGAGGATGGAAATGGCGTAAGTAATGAAATCGATACCTTTACAAAGGCATTAACTGCCTTAAAAAGCACAGTTAAGCTAAAAATCGAAAAAGCCTCTAACCTTTTGACGCGTTTTAATAGCTATTTTAGACCCTCATCTCCCGATACTCCTACGATCCTTACCAAAAAAGTTTGCTGGTATTTGCCGTCGGAGCCGGAAGCGTTTTTGGAACCCTGCCTTTCAATTTTGGCTTCATCCGATGGGGGGCAAAGTAGGTGTTAATGACGCAGCAATTTTATAGAAATATTAAAGTACCAGCGGGGGAGGAGCCGCTTCGCGACTCTCCCCCGCTGGATCCCGTCTAGGCCCTATTCATCGAGCGCCCTTCCACATAAAGTTACCTTGAAGAAAGAAAAACCCATCTTCCATGCAAACCTCTTTGTATTGACATGCGGCGCAAGCTTGAAATGCTAGTCTCGTTATTAGGCCTGCGGCGCATGTTTGATCGGCTAGGTCGCTACCTCGTCCTGCGGCCCAAGCTGGAGGGATTAGCCTCCTTTTTTGGCCTGTGGCGCCAGTTTGAGCGGTTTGCTTCAAGATTAAGCCTGCGGCGCAATTTGAACGGTTACCTCCTTCTTTAAGCCTGCGGCGCTAGCTTGTGCGGCTAGCTTCGTTCTAAAGCCTGCGGCGCTAGCTTGTGCGGCTAGCTTCGTTCTGAAGCCTGCGGCGCTAGCTTGTGCGGCTAGCTTCGTTCTGAAGCCTGCGGCGCTAGCTTGTGCGGCTAGCTTCGTTCTGAAGCCTGCGGCGCTAGCTTGTGCGGCTAGCTTCGTTCTAAAGCCTGCGGCGCTAGCTTGTGCGGCTAGCTTCGTTCTGAAGCCTGCGGCGCTAGCTTGTGCGGCTAGCTTCGTTCTAAAGCCTGCGGCGCTAGCTTGTGCGGCTAGCTTCGTTTTGAAGCCTGCGGCGCTAGCTTGTGCGGCTAGCTTCGTTCTAAAGCCTGCGGCGCTAGCTTGTGCGGCTAGCTTCGTTCTGAAGCCTGCGGCGCTAGCTTGTGCGGCTAGCTTCGTTCTAAAGCCTGCGGCGCTAGCTTGTGCGGCTAGCTTCGTTCTAAAGCCTGCGGCGCAATTTGAACGGTTACCTCCTTCTTTAAGCCTGCGGCGCTAGCTTGTGCGGCTAGCTTCGTTCTAAAGCCTGCGGCGCTAGCTTGTGCGGCTAGCTTCGTTCTGAAGCCTGCGGCGCTAGCTTGTGCGGCTAGCTTCGTACTAAAGCCTGCGGCGCTAGCTTGTGCGGCTAGCTTCGTTCTAAAGCCTGCGGCGCTAGCTTGTGCGGCTAGCTTCGTTCTAAAGCCTGCGGCGCTAGCTTGTGCGGCTAGCTTCGTTCTGAAGCCTGCGGCGCTAGCTTGTGCGGCTAGCTTCGTTCTAAAGCCTGCGGCGCTAGCTTGTGCGGCTAGCTTCGTTCTGAAGCCTGCGGCGCTAGCTTGTGCGGCTAGCTTCGTTCTGAAGCCTGCGGCGCTAGCTTGTGCGGCTAGCTTCGTTCTAAAGCCTGCGGCGCTAGCTTGTGCGGCTAGCTTCGTTCTGAAGCCTGCGGCGCTAGCTTGTGCGGCTAGCTTCGTTCTAAAGCCTGCGGCGCTAGCTTGTGCGGCTAGCTTCGTTCTGAAGCCTGCGGCGCTAGCTTGTGCGGCTAGCTTCGTACTAAAGCCTGCGGCGCTAGCTTGTGCGTCTAGCTTCGTTCTGAAGCCTGCGGCGCTAGCTTGAGGGGTTAGCCTGAATCTTTAGCCTGTGGCGCTAGTTTCAGTGCTTAGCTGGATTCGTTAGCCTGCGACGCAGTTTTAGAGCGACTGACTTCAGAATAGCGCCTCCCTACAGGAAAATACACTTCGAAACATGCATTCCGAGCATAAAGCAAAAAAAAAAATACGAAAGCCGGGGAGCGAACCCCCGATAGCAAGATTGGCAGGCTGACGCTCTAACCACTATACCATGAAATGCTTGGGAGCGCGCGCGCAACACCCCTTGTATGCCACGAGGTGACTGCCGGGAAAGGGGAGCCAAGGCAATCGGAGGCAGCTCCAATCGGGCAGCCAAACGCGCGAGTGCAACTGGCAAGAATGAGGAAATTTGTATTTTCTCGCATTATGCAAATTAGCCCTCAGGGACCCCCAAAAATGAATAAAACCGGCCTTAACTTTGTAAACTTGTATTTTATCGAAATTCTGAGAACGCCATCGGAAACAGAAAGGTCGATTCCCCCGGGTGACGGAGAATTAGGGCATTTTGGACACGGGAAGGCCCTCAAATCGGGCCTCGAAAGTGACATCCACACACACACACACACATACGCGACCAAATTATATAAGGTGGGATATTGCAAATTGTAACAATTGTTTAATAGATTTCCATTCCTTTTCGCCGGGATTTGTTCTATGGTTGCTACAGCGGCAGTTCCACTGGCCGCTGATCTGTCATTTGCGGGTGTTCTGGTATTACGGTTTATTCAGGTAAATCGACTAAAAATGGTTTTTATAGGAAATAAACGGAACGTAGCTTCAGTGACACTACAGTAATAAACGTTTCAATTGCAGGGCTTTGCCTACGCAGCCGATTTCTGCGTCCTCGGCGTGATTACGGTAAAATGGGCGCCGCTGAACGAGATGAGCATTTTCATCGCGATCATGACGAGTTTTGTGACGTATTCGCCATTTTTGACGAATATGGTGTCTTCATTTGTAAGTTTAGAATTGTCATTATTGCTGAAAGAGTGATCGAGCTCATTTTTGAGCAAAATGAGTACCATTTTTTAGTTCTGCACCTCGTGGCTGACCTGGAAATGGTCATTTTACGCCCATGCCATTTTCTCTGCTGTTTGCTTTACTGGTAATTATTAAAATTTTAAAATATGGTTTTGTAATTTTCGTTTTATATAGATCACCGTTTTTACAAGCCACTTTCAAATCCTAAATTTATGGTGTAGTTTGTATTTTTCAGCCTGGCTTTTCTACTACGGTGACGAGCCGGCCCGGCATTCTCGCGTAAATCGAGAGGAATTACTCAAGATTCAAAAAGGAAAAACAAAAGAACACCTCGAAGCGGACCATTTTGTACCCTACAAGGCAATCAATCAAACTGTAAGGGTTATCTCCGAATTTTTAGGCAATTTTAACAACCCCGACAATGTATGCAATCTGGCTAAACGGGTTCGCCGAGATCTCCACCATCACGTTGTTGCTCACCTACATGCCAATGTACCTAAACAAAGTAAGTGGACGAATTGGAAGCATGAAGAGTCTAGGTCCTTGGGTTTAGCATCGCCTCCACGGGGATGATCTCGGCGATGGCCGCGCTGAGCCATGCTCCAGTGAAATACGCTTCTGGATGGTTCAGTGATAAGAATAAGTGAGTTTTTAATGGTTGTCAAAGTTTTTCATATAAAAAAATTTCAATCATTAGGACCGTAAATGCTATCTTTTAACAAAAAACCTGTTAGTACACGTCGAAAACCGCTCAGGAAGCACAGCATTCCGCCCTTTACCAGTTGTGTTCGTTTGACCGGGACAGGATGGCATGCATACAGGGGAAGGGAGAATCTGCGCTCTGGCCCCGCCCCCTGTTCTCTTCCCCCGTGCTCTATAGTCTAGTCTCACTCTTTCGCCGCCTATTCCGCGGCCCACCCCTTCCCTGTGTGTCTGCACCCCGCCGTCTGGCGCACTATCCGCCAGCCTACTCGCGAACACCGCGGAATCATATGGGATGTAGATGGAATGTTCCTTCCATATCTCCCTAGAACCAAAAACATCGAAAACTTTAATAAAGTTATATTGACAAAGTAAACTTATTAAGTTGAAGCAAGCCCCTTACAGAACCTTCACCGAGCATCGCAAACTCCAACTGTGCAACTTCATGGCGGTGGGCTTTGCCGGTGTACTGTTCGTGCTCGTGGGGCTCGTAAAGACGGCCGGTGGCGGAATTATTGCTGTCGTAAGCGCTTCTGAGAAGGTCAGCCGTACTCTACCCGATTTCAGGTTCTCATCTTTGGCATCTACCTGGCGATGGGGGCAAATTGCGGGGGGTACTGGAAATGTGCCGCGCTTACGTCGAGGTCAGTGCTTTATGGGTGTAGTTGGGCGTTTTGTTACGTACTTAAAGGTGTCTACAATACCTTAGGTTCATAGGTTACTATGAAAGTGTAATAATTTCAGGCAATACGCAAATTTCGTCCTCTCCGTCAACCAATTTATGAAGTGCATTGCATTGGGGACGGCGCCGGGAAGTTGGCTACTATTTGTGAGCGATGAAAGAGGTACGGGTTTGAGAAAAATAGGATGTTTTTAACTAAAAAAATTAAAAAAAGCATAAAAAATCTTTGAGTACAATCATAACCTTACAAAAAAACCTTAGAAAACATCCAAACTTCGATTTAAAACGTTCGAATTTAGACGTTGACCAATGGAGCTACGTGTACTACCTAAACGGCGCTATTTTGATTGTGGTAAGCCTCTAAAAAAAGCGGTAAAATACGGTAATCCTAGGCAAACATCGTCTTCTACTTCATGTGCTCTGATAAGCCGGCCGAGTTCACGAAAATGACACGAGACAACCCAACTGGAAAACAGGAATTTCTGAATTCTGTTGAGAACTCGTTAAGAAGAGAAACGACAACGACAAACGGCGAGGCATAATTCCATGTATCACTTTCACTTAATACTACGAATTATTACGAATACCTTATGGTGGCACTGATACTGGTACTATTTCCGTTGTTACTGCTTTAATCGTTATCAGCAATCTATTTTGCGCTTTGTGTTTGAAATAAATATCCGCAAACTCTGTCAGCAAACGCGAACGCAAATACCATGGGAACTGAAATCTAAAATATTCATTTCGATCCTAAAAATATTGTCCTTTGCTTTTAGCCCTTCTCACCCCCAAAACTTGTTTCCAGAAATTTCCAGGACCACAAACCCTACAGTACCCAAAAAAACTCTTCGGCGATTTCCAGGAAATCCTCCACCACGCCAGATTCCTTCCTTATCATCCGCCCGCCGTCTAAAATGCGCACCCGGGCCCAAAACCAACTTTTTGTCGGGCTCCCAATGTTCCACTTGTTCGCTCTCCCCGGCTAACTAACTAGTTAAAACGCCCGGGCGGCTGACTGCTCCCTCAACTTTTTGCATATGGTTTGCGGGCGGGGGGCTGAAACGGGGGAGCGGGAGCTCGAGAATTCGTCCGTCTCACTATTCCATACGGGCTATCTCTCTCTCTCTTTCTCTCTCTCTCTCTCTCTCTCTCTCTCTCTCTCTCTCTCTATCTCTCTCCCTCTCTCGTTGTATCACTGGCTCGATCTCGATCGCTCTCTCGCTCTTACTCTCTCTTACTCGAGCTCATTTCGCTTTGCTCTCGATTTCTCGAGTCACACTCGGTTTTCCTTGACTTCCTCTCTCTCTCTCTCCCTCTCCCTCTCTCTCTCTCTCTCTTCCCTCCCGGTTCCACCACCTCGTCCAAGTCGGGCCGAGTGGGCGGACGAGGTACTTTCTATAAGAGGGCACCCTCACAACTGATGGTCAACCCAATCAGCCCATTTCCATTTGCTCCTCCCGGTCTCGCTCGCGATTTCATTATTTTCCAGGCAACGACTTGCCTGTGGAGCAGCAGCACCACTCTCTGATTTCCAGACCCTCTATCGTGTTCATCTACCATACATCAACCGTCAAATTCCAGTATGAGCACCGGCCGTGTCGCGGCCTACGGGGCCATCGGCCTATCCGCCCTCTCCGTGGCCATCCTCCTCTCGGCCCTCCCCCAACTCATCAGCCGCATCTCCGACATCCAGGCCTCCGTCGACGCCGACATCGACTCGTTCAAGCGCACGGAATATGGCATCAAGTATGTTCTATACTACTTTAATCATCTAAACAATATGTTCTAGCCAACAAACCCGTGCTCGCTTCCCGGTCGTGATCCGCCGTGAACGCCGTCACGCCGGCGGTCAGTGCTGCTGCAACGAGAACAACGGATGCCCCGCCGGCCCACCCGGTCTCCCCGGAACCCCCGGTTTCGATGGAGAGCCCGGCCGCGACGGAGAGGCCGGACGCCCCGGTCTTGCCGGAAACTACCCCGAGATCGACTACGACCACTACAACCAGTGCCGCATCTGCCCCAACGGACCCCAGGGACCCCCTGGAGCCCCTGGAAAGCAAGGAGCTGTCGGAGCCCCCGGATCTACTGGAGCCCCTGGTAAGTGTTTTCAAGGTAGCTAAGAGCTAGAGACGTGAACTTCACGAAGGGGCTTGGAAGTAGCAGCCTGCAAGTCGAACTAATTTAATTAGCTAGGTGATAGGCCTGAATCTCTTGGAGACGCTTGAAAAGAAGAAGCGTCCAAGTCGATCCAGTTTACTTAGCATGCGATAGTTCTGAACTCCTTGGTGACGTTCGGAAAGTAGAAGGTTTGAAATCAACCAATTCAATGAGCAACGCGATACTCCTGAACTCCTAGGTGTCGCTCGAAAAATCAGTGGCTTTCAAGTTCTTCTAATTTAATTAGCGGGCCGAACCTCCTCAACTCCTTGGTGACGTTGGCTAAGTAGAGGCTCCCAAATCGATCTAATCCAAAGCTCAAACTCCAATAATTTTTTATTTCAGGAGGCTGCTCTCACGCCGGCGAGCCTGGACGCCCCGGATTCCCCGGAGAGCCCGGCACCCCTGGACAGCCCGGACGCCCCGGAGCCCCTGGAGCCCCTGGCCGCAACGCCGAGTCTGGAGGTCGTGGAGCCCCTGGATCTCCCGGAGGACGTGGAGAGAATGGAGCCCCTGGAGAGCCCGGAAGCGATGGAGCCCCCGGACACCCTGGAGGCCCTGGAGGACCTGGTGCCCCGGACAGCCTGGAGAGCAGGGACCCGCTGGATCTCCTGGATTCCCTGGAGGAAATGGAGGACCCGGAGGACCCGGTATCGACGGTGGATATTGCCCTTGCCCCCGCAGGAGGCATTAAAACAACATCATCCCTGTCACTTGGGAATAAACCTTACCGCATTCACGGATTTTATTACGCACCGCATCTGGATTTTAACACTTACAAAGCGCAAATGATTCAGTGCTTGCGACTGTTACCCTGGATTATTTTGTCTGTCACGAAAATCTAAAAATAAACACATCAAAAGGCCTTATCCGGTCAATTGGCTGTGCCATTTATTGCTTGGATTGCATCCTTGTAAGCGGCGACCCTTTCGTCATGACACTTGTCCTGGCGCAGGCTCTTCAGCTGGAAAGACTTTGTCGTTTTTCTGCATCCAAGCTGGCTCGAAAACTATGTTGTCGAAAGGTCATTTTGTCGAAATACCATTTGCCTCGATTATTCATCTCAAAATTTCGCAAATTGAAATCTCAGCGTATTGAAATGTGGACAAAAGGACATGTCGAGGTCATGAATTTTCGGTAACATGCTATTTCGACAAAATGTAATTTCGACAAAATTATTTTCGACAAAATGAATGAAAGTGCCCGTTCACCCTACCTCCAACAATTTCATCATGTAGAAATGGGCTTTGTATTCTGGGGTATCATCACAACCGGCAGCAGTATTCCGCGCGAGGCAGGCTTCAACCTTCGCATCCGCCTCGCATTTGCCGTAGGGGTCGGCGCACGGTAGGCCTTCTGGCAAAGTGCCCTCAGCCACACAGGCAAGGCGGGCTCGCACTGGAAGAGATATCACAGGGTTGCTAGAAGAATGCTACAAGCTAGTACAGAGTGTCTGAATAAAATAAAATCCCCTTCTAACTCGATGCAGAAAGGACCGAACAGGATCATAGCTATATCATTCGAAAGCCCTTGGAACGGCGAGTGTGTAACAATGTTCAAAACTAACTTTTTATGGAAACGCACCAGTTTAGAACACATTTAAAAACATGAAAGAACGGCCTCTGCATCTAATTAACGGCTATTTCCGGTCATTTTGATTAGAGAAATTGAGGCAACTCAGCTCGTACGCAACCCCGAAAAGTCGCAAATCTCACAGAATGGCTGGTAAATTAGCGGGTCTGAATAGAAACATGGTTATCAAGATTGCTGCAAACTCGCCGTTTCAAAGTCTTTCGAATGGTGTAAATATCATTCTGATCCGGTGATTCTGCGTCGAATTAGAAGGGGTGATTTTTATTCGGACACCCTGAACACCCTAAGCCAACGGAGTTTTCAGTTTTTACACACTCACAAAGTGGTTCGGACGATCCGCAGTTGAGATTTTCGTAGTCCTTCGTAAAACGATCAGAGCACGGGCAGTGGGCCTGTTGCATCGACCTCAAGTATCTAGAAAATTAATTCTGCACCCTTAGTTAGCCAAAAAGGTCCCCGCGGTAAACCTACTTGCAAACATTTTGAGCGGGATCCCCTGGCAAAAGGACAGCTACTTTTTCGAAGCAGATGCTCTGAACCGTATAGCATAGCGATCAACAAAGTTGGCCTACGTTAGTAGCATTGATGCACGCGGGGTTTTCCGTACCAACGGTGCCCAGGTAGGCGAGGACGGGGAAGATGCCCGTGGAGTTCATCTGAAGTTTTGGCACGAATGACAGCAGCGATAGTTGGGCAATTTCATCAATTTTTGGAGGGAAGGAGCTTCAGTCATAACAAAACTGTCATCAACACAGCAGGCACCAAATTTCGAGGCTGCAAGGAAAAATAAAAGAAATTCAATAGAAAGCGAGAGAGAGAGAGAGAGAGCTAGAGAGACAGAGAGAGAGAGAGAAAGAGAGAGAGAGAGAGAAATCGGGAAAGAAAAAGAGCACAAAGGTGATCCCAAAATCAGTGTGGGGATCTACGTTCAAAAGTGATTTTTGAGCTGGTTTTCCGAAAAGCGTCCTGAATAAATCGCTTCACCACTTCAAATTTCAGATTTTTGAATCTGCTTTTTTCTTTCTCAGTGCTTTAAAATGAGCTGTATTCTGTTACGAACAGTCAATTACACACGCTCCATAAAAAATCGTGCTTACACCCTTTTCTACAGGATAAGATTTATCGGAACATGCTGTCAAGCCGATGAGTCCGTCCCGCTTTCGATTTTGTCGATTGCGTCTTTGAACGCCTTGATGTACTCGCCACGGCATTTACGCGTTTCCAGGCTGGCTAGCTATAAAAATGTATTATTTTCCTCTATTACCGGTGACAAACCTCCAGTAATTTGTGTTTGTAGGCGTGAACCTTGAACTCTGTAGAATTGTCGCAAGCACTCATCTGTGCGGCAAAGAGACATTCGGCATGCGGGGCGAAGTCATCACAAGTTTTCGCGCGGTAATCGCCATAGAGAATTTCATCGCACTTTTTGTGCGTCCGAATCACGGGGCAGTTCAGTCGCCGACGCACAAAAAGTATTTTCTGGTTTTGAAAAAAAATTGAGACACTTGCATAGAGGCTCGGACGCGCCACAATTGTTCTTCTTGTAAGCCAACAAAAAACCTTCAGAACATCGGCAGTGGGTTTTTTGCATGGCGTCAAGGTATCTAGCATATAGTCTAAAAACTAACACTCTTGCCACTGACGCGCAAATGTTTTCCGCGTGGTCTCCCGGCAAATTACTCGCAACGTTTTCGTAGCAGAAACCCTAGATTTGGTATCAATTGTTGTCCGATCAAGCTCAACCTCGTTTTCGGCGATGCAAATCGGGTTCTCAGCCCCCGCAACCGCGAGATAAGCGACGAGGTCGAGCAGTACGACCGACGTGGAAATGATCGGCATTTTGGTCCTGGCAGCTCCCGGCAGGCACTGTTAACCGACGACTCGTTATGGCCAGGGGATTCTTGGGTAAAATAATTTCAGAAATAACTAAATTGGGCTGAAAACGAGGTGATTTAGACCAAGCATAATTTGGCCATCAATTCCGTGTGACGAATCCATCGACAGCCGACGTTTAAATACAATTTATTTTATTTGCAATAAATTAGCACAAAAACGTCTGATTCTTAGCAGCTTTCGTCTAGACTCAGATATGGTCCTGCACCCACTCAATCACGTCGATCTTCTCGGCACGGCACTCAACGTCTCCAGAGTGTTTCAGCTAAACAAACAGTAGGGATTTTAATGCTTCCACAGCATACCTGCATCAATTTCTGGTTGTAGAGGTAGATCTTGTATTCTCGCGAGCGATCACAGGCGGCAGCCTCAGCGGCGTAGACACAGTCCAGGTACCAGCCATGCTGATTGCAGTCCCCGTTATCCGGGTAGAGCGGTGCACAATTAGCCGGGGGTGGGCTGAGATCTTTTTCACATTGCAGCCGCTGGCTCACTGAAATTTTTGAAGTTGTTCGACAAAATTTTCATTTTTCATTCCGGATTACCATCTCTTTCGACAAATATTGACGGATTTGGTTCCTGGCCCAACCTTAAAAAATTAAGCTCTTGTTTCTTACAGAAGTGCTGGTCTCGGCAGTTCAAAGCGTCGTATTCTTCAACGAATTCTGCGGAACAAGGACATTCCGGCATCGCCTCGATGTGCCTGAAAATAGACCGCATTTTTTAACCCGTCGATGCTTCAAGTCCTACAAATTCAGGAAAATACAATATAATGAAATTTTGCTCACTTGCAAATATTCGCCGCTTGATCACCACTCCACCCCTCGGTAACGCGCTCGTAGCAAACTCCCTAAAGTCGTAAAATTTTTGGAAAAACGGGGTAAGCATTTATAGACGCCGTTATTACGTAAGTAAGAATTACCAGTTTCCGGAAAACGGTCGATTTTGTCACGACGTCGGCTCGAATGCATGTCGCTTCTTCCACAGCATTGGAAACGGCAACGATGGCCAGAAGGCCGACGAACAATAGAGACGAAGTAGGCATTGTGGTGCTCTGATTTTCGCCCTCATTCTCCCGTTTTATGCACGCGAAATTTTGACTGGACAGTTTAGTGTCCGCGCCAAAACAATGCAGTCCAACCGCTTTAATTGAATTTCTTGAACTTTAGGGGTGTCAACCTTGGCGTCAAAATAAACGAGGGTTGAAGCGGGACCACAGTTTAGTTCGCAGATTTGGAAAGATCAGAGACATTTGTCATAGCTTTCCTTTTTTTAGGTGAAGTTTGCTGGGTGATATAGAAGTACATCGATACAACTAAATTTTTTAACGCCTAAAAATCATTTTTTAATGCCCCAACAAGGGAACCATCAGCTCGCATCGTAAGCTCACGAAAAAGGCTGGAATCGAATTTTTTTAATAGAGTTGTGGACATTGTCACAGCACTTCAGGAAATAGCCGATTGATAAAACATTGTACCGAATGGCACGGGATTTAATTTTAGCTTATTCAAATCCAAGACATTTTTGCTCAAATTTTAATTTTGAAACTTTTCGAAAAAACAAACGATTGCAGTAGAACGTGAAAAAAAATTCGAAAAGCTTTTTGATAAAGCCCAACAGCAAATCCTGCAATATTTCACAATTTTTTTGTTTTCGAAAATTCTTGTGGATGAGCCAGCCTTAATCAAAAGATCTGACCGGATTCGAACGAGAGCGAGAGAGAGAGAGAGAGAGAGAGAGAGAGAGAGAGAGAGAGAGAGAGAGAGAGAGAGAGAGGATGAGAGGATACAACGAATATCATCAATGTAGTTTTTGTCGTATTTTTCTCGGTATTAAAATTTATTCACACAATGATTATCGATAATAAATGTGATTATTTTGTATAATCGGTGGATATCGATTTAATGCAGGCCAAGCGCCTCTCGAATCACATCAATCCGCTCCCTACGGCACTGGACGTCTTCCCAGGCGTTCAGCTAGAAAAATTGAATCAAGGCGGAACCCGGCCAACCTCAAGCATCTTTTGGGTCAAGTAATAGATTCTGTAGGGCCGCGAGTTGTCACAGAAGGCAATCTGCTCTTCGTAGGCACACAAGCCGAAGTGGGCCAAGTCGAAGCAATCCTTGGCTGACCTGTCGTAAGTCTCCTTGCAAAGACCATCGGTTTGGCGTTCTCCGCAGGTTAGCCGGGTGTGGACTGGAAAAGCGGATTATTGATCAGTTCAGCTTAATTCACAGTGAAGCGTAATAATTTAATTGAAAAACCGTAGAAAGGTCACTTACACAGCCCCTCCGCACGCCCACAGTTGTTCGTTCGGTAGTCGTCGAGGAATTGATCCGAGCATGACGGGCAATCGTTGTGATGTATGTTGGATAGATATCTAAAATTTGGAATAAATTGGAGGTAAAACAAGGCGTTAAAGTTTTGTCAAACCCTCTTAAATGTTAAAATCAACTTAAGAACTCGCACCTGCAAACCCTTGACGCATCATCACCACCCTTATTTTCGTAGCAGACTCCCTAAAATACGATTTTATATAAGGAACCGGCCAGATCGCATTTTTTTTGAGTTTTGCCTAAATTTTACGAACGTGTTCGGGATCAGCGCAGTTCCAGGGCTCAGCGGTGGAGAGGGCAACAAGGGCCAGGATGCAGCCGGAGAATAGAATTGAGCCAGTCATGCTTTTCGTTCTGGTTCTCGCTCCCATTCTTCCCCTTTTATGCCCGACAAGTTTTGACTGGCCGGTTCAGTGCCAACGCCAAAACAGTTCAAATCTAATTGGATTTTTTTGGCGGCCCTGAATTCGTGTCGCGAGACACAGCAAAAACGTGGTGAACGAGAAGGAACATGGAATCAGATTGTCTAAAAATGGCCTGGTGAGCCTTGCAAACGAGACGGCACTTTGGAACCCTTATCCAAGGCAAAGAGAGTAATTTTTCCAGAGTCATTTTTAAATTCCGTAAAATTCCGAGTATAGTTTGGGTACGTTTTGGCGACGCGCCAATACACATGACGCTTTAATAACGCGCGCCCCCGCCCGCTCGCGTATTTTTTTCGGTCTGGCATAAATACTAAATTATGGTTTATTGAATACTTCGTTTTTTCAATAGTCTCGAGAGCAAAAGAATTTATTTGATCCAGAAAAATAGTATCATCACATATTTTCGGTATACAGGTGTATCATCAAATCACCGATCTCGATATGCAAAACCTGACCGTCCACCCGCCGGATATAGCCTTTTAAGCGGTTCTGACGCAGCACAAAATCGGCATACGGCCGCAGCAAGGGAGGGCAATTCGGGTAGTCCGGCTGGGCGTTGATTCTAATTCGGCTAATCTCCCGCTCCGCCCGCAGCCATTCGTCGATCAGCATCTTTGCGAAGAGCTCGTCATCGCGCCCTGGCGTTCCGACCCACATTGTCGGTACCTTTAGACGGATATATTCTGGCCTTGGGGCAGAGAAATTGTGAGCATCCATTTCGACCACCGACTCGTTGATCCAGTCGACCAGCTCCGTCGGCAAAGATCCCAGCGTCTGCAGCAATACCATGAATTTTTCGGCAGGTTTGTGACGTTTGAGCACCGACGACAGCGCGGATGTGGTATTAGGTTGGTAGTACAGGAATAGTTGCCTGCACCGCAGATCGACGTCATCGCGCAGCGGACCACCAAGACTCAAGGCCCTAACGGTTGACGCGTCGAAGAGCATCTTGAACGTTTTTGGACAATCGATCTGCCTGGTCTTCCGATCTTCGATGAGCTCGAAAAACCCGTCCAGGCGTTGTTCGACCCGCACATCCCAATACTTTTGCCGGCACTCTCTGGCCATCTCAAACATTTCCTTGCTCGCGATCGCGGTCTTAAAAAAGCTGCGAATGTCCATTTTTCGCAGGATGTGTTGTTGGACGACATGTGGGAATGCGCCAAAGTTGATCTCCATCTGAAATTTGAAGTGTGCTGTCGGGAAGGGAGAGCGATATAAAGAAAGAGCGAGAGAGAGAGAGAGAGAGAGCGAGTGAAAGATAGAGAGAGAGATGAGCTACAAAGAAAATGATTCGAATTATACGAGAGGCCGCAGTGATTCTAAGGACATCTGCCATTTTTTAAACCAAACGGCCCGAAGAGAGCCGAAAATAGAGAGAAATGGCATTCGAAAATCGATAGTGCGCGTCGGGTATCGATATAGGGATCTGTAGGCACACGATGGGCTCAAATCTTGCGCCGGAGGAAAGATCAGCCCGGTGTCGAACCGAATGTGAATATTTCTGCATTAGCAATTTTTTTTGAATTTTGCAGCTTGAGGCTTGCCTGTGCGCCAAAAATTCAAAACCCATTCTCAAACCTAAAACTGTAATTTTTAAGTATTCGTTGCTAAATGTTGTACTGTTCGAGAAATCCTTGTTTTTCGTAAAATAATGTAAAAAACACGTTTATTCAGTTCCCAGCCGCAGTTTTATCATTCTAGTGCTCAACGAGACAATTAACACATCACCGTTCTGCCGCTGGATGTTTCCCTGGAGATAGTCATAACCTTCAGGACGCGAAAACGTGGCGTAGGGCTTCAGTAAAGCCGCGCAATCCGGGTAACCGGATTTGCTCCTGACTGTGATATGCGCAATCTGGCGCTTTTCCTCCAACCATTCGTCGATCAGTAGCTTTGCGTAAAGTTCGTCAAGTCCAGCCCCTTCAGATGAGGTCCACAGCGTCATTTCCGGCAGCTTCAACCCGTTATAGTCCGGCAGTGGAGCGGCGGAAAGTCTGAGGGCCCACAGCCTTGTGGCGGATTCATTCATAAACGCCATCACTTCCGGTTGCGGTGGGATGTCCATGAGGTTGACGTCGTAGCTTCCCACCGGCTTGTGTCGTTTTAGCATTGGTAGAATATCGTCGGGGTTGCAATTAACCATCAAATGCTTGCAACGAATATCCGTATCGTTGGGGGTCGGCCCAAAAACGCACAGTTTCTCAACGGTTGCCCCGTTAAAGAGGAGTTTAAAGGTTTCGCTAGCCTTGATGTGATGTGCCCGCTGGTCGGCAACGAAAAAGCAGCCATCGTAGCTGAGAGCAACATTCCAATACTTGTCACCGCAACTCTGGGCTATCTTGGTCATCTCCTTGCTCGTGATTGCAGTCTTGAAGAAGCTTCGGATGTCCATGTTTCGGAGGATGTGGTGCTGAACGACGAGCGGAGCTCCATCTGAAAAGAAAGAAAGAAATACAAGCTAAATGCGGTAAGGCACAAAAGGAAGCTAAAAGAGAGAGAGAGAGAGAGAGAGAGAGAGAGAGAGAGAGAGATCGAACGAGAGAGAGTGAGAGAGAGAGAGAGAGAGAGAGAGAGAGAGAGAGAGAAAGAAAGCCAAAGCTATTTGAAAGGTTAGTTTTGTATTTAGGCCAACATCCAAGGCTAGAAATGATAGTTAGCGTCTATCAGCTGATTTAGCGTGTTTCGCCTAACATCTGCCAATTTTCAAATCACCTGAGAGCCGCACTTTTGGTTAAAAAACGCTGTCACGCCGCAAGCATTGATATCATGTCTTTATACATTCTCGCGAAATTTCGAAGTTGCCGATCAAAGAAAAAATATGAAACCTTGAATAATAACCTTGAAGAAAAACTTCAAAATGGAAATGCGCGAAACCTGTCTACGCATCTAAAAAAAATGCCGTTTCTTCGTTGGGCAATATGACAAAAAGATTTATTTCTTTGCCTTCCGCAATGTTATCATACTCTCACTAATCGACACCATCAACAGCTCGCCGTTTTTTCGCCGGATGCGTCCCGCCAGCCAATAGTTGCCTCGATGCCGCGAAAACTTGGCATACGGCCGCAGCAATGCCGGGTAATCCGGGTAGCCCGGCGTACAGATGATGGTTATAAACCGTATATGTCGTTCTCCTTTCAGCCATTCGTCGATCAGTAGCTTTGCGTAGAGTTCGTCGAGGCCAGCCGCTTTCTGAATCGAACAATTTGGCGTGAGGGCATTTGACATAAAACTGTCGAAATTTGAAACCAGTTTTTCGACCTTTCAATTCAAAATTTTGGAGCTTTATTTCGTTAGAATCTGGATTCTTTGAAAAGCGAGCTTGTAGAAAATTTATTTTCAAGTTCAAAATGTCGAAAATTAGAATGCCGTTTTTCGAAAAAGCAATTTCTAAAAAGCCAAATTTGGGCAAAATAAAGCAAAAAGCACGATATTATAAATTTCGACACAATATGATAACGTTAAGTTCTAGCGGAATTTCCAGAAATAAATTTTGCTAGATTAAAATTTAGAAAAGAAAATGACCCCAACCTGAACCGAAGATGTTCTCAGCGTCATTTCCGGCAGCTTCAACCCAATATAGTGGGGTAGCGGGGCGGGGAGTCGCAGATCCCAGAGTCTTGTCACGGATTCATTTAGAAACGAGATCAACTCCGGTTCTGGCGGGAATCCGAGAAGATCGACGGCGTAGTTTCCGATCGGTTTGTGTCGTTTAAGAGCTGGCAGGGCATCTTGGGGCTTGCAATGCACCATCAAATGCTTGCAACGAATATCGGTATCGTTTGGGGTCGGGCCATAAACTTTCAGGTACTCAACGGTGGTGCCGTTCAAGAGGAGCTGACGTGTCTCCCTAATCTGGATATCACGCGGCCGCCGGTCGGCGATGGAAAAGCAGCAAAATGAGTGTTTATTGTCGTAGCTCAGGCACAGATCCCAGTATTTGTCTCTGCAGCTCTTGGCAAGCTCCAACATCTCCTTGCTGGTGATCGCGGTTTTGAAGAAGGTTTTGACATCCATTTTTCGGAGGATGTGGTGCTGGACGACGAGTGGGAATGAGCGGAAATTTATCTCCATAACCTGAAATCTAAAGCTATAGTAGGGTTAATGACGGGATTCGCGAAAGAAACGGGGCAAAATAGGTAAAGAGCGCTTAAAGGGCTGCTGACGGCATGTGTCGATCCCCCCAGCAACAAATTGGCAAGTAGCCAACAGGGGAGAGAGGGCGCACCGGGGAAAGGCGCAGAGACATTTTCTTTACAGCGCGTAATCGATTGACTATGCCGTCGGCATCCCTTTAAAAGAAGGTAGAGAGAGATCGGTATAGAAAGAGAGAGAGAGCGAGAGAAAGCGAGAGAGCGAGAGAGAGATCAAAATTAGCTTATTAAATTCAAGCCCATAGCGAGAAATTCAGCTAGGAACAGATTCAAATATCCGGTGTTGCTTGAACCATCCTAACCCGCGACCCGCTGCCTGAAAAAATGCGGCAAGGTCACCGAGTAATGCGCATTAATAGGGATTGACCTCCCCCCTCGTACGTTACACTAGACCCCTTGAGACGGCGTATTTGCAACAATCTTCAAAACGATCTTTTCATTTAAACGCACCATTTTACAACGCATTTCAATACATTAAGGAAGGGCTTCTGTATCTATTTGACGGCAACTTCCGGTCAATTTGCTTGGGAAAATAAGGGCAAATTGGCTCGTATTCAGCCCGAAAAAACAGCAAAATTTTACAACGCTCATGAAATAAAAACACTATTTTGAAGATTGCTGCAAACTCGCCGTCTCGCTTTCAAACTGTGTAACTATCGTTCTGGTCTGGTACATCGGCACCACGATAGAGGGGAGTGTTTTTTATCGGGACACCCGTACTTTGCCGGTCCAACTCGAGCAGTTTTACCAAAAAAGAATTTATTTCAAAAAGGTCATCAAATAGAAAGACAATCATCCGAATCAAGTCTAATATAGTGTGGCCCTTCTATAATATCCAGCAATTCACCATCACTACGCCGGAGACATCCCTCAAGACAATTTCCATCCGGCTGTAGAATCTTTCGGCCATCCAGCTCCTGGAAAAAGGCGGCGTAAGGCCGGAGGAAAACCGGGACATCCAGGTATTCATCCCTCCAAAGGATTACAATTTGACGGATGTGACGCTTCTGTATCAGCCATTGATCGATCAGCCGTTTCAGGTAAAGTTTGACTGTCTCACACCTTGTTCTCAGCTGCATTAACGGCACTTTTAAGCCGGCATACGCCAACACCGGAGCGGTCAGTCTCTCAATGGTGAGAACATCAACCGTCACGTTCAGACAATCGATCAGTTCCGCGTCGGGCTTCATTGCCGGGAAGTGGACGATATAATCGCCGACTGGCTTGTAGCGCCTGAGACCGGACAGCAAATCGTCGGGACGCCAGAAAATATCGAGCACCCGGCAACGCAAGTCCACATCGTCCGCGACACGCCCGTCCACCATCAGTTGCCGACAGGTGGCCCAGTTAAAGAGCAGTTTGTAGGTGTCCCTGTTCGAGATGATCCGTCGCCCCAGTCCTGGGATTGAGCAATCGACCACTTCGGCATCGCATCTGAGCTGCACTTCCCAGAACTTGTCCCGACAGTTCTTGGCCATCACTAACATTTTCTTGCTCGTGATGGCGGTTCTGAAGAAGCCAACAATATCCATATTTCGGAGGATGTTATGCTGGACTGGGAGCGGGAACTCGCTGAAGTTGATCTCCATCTGAAAGGTAGGGGGTTGAGTTAGCAAGAGCAAGAGAGCGAGCGAGAGGGCGAGCAAGATATAGAGTGAGAGAGAGATCAAGGAATAGTGATAACGAGTCAGTGGCAGAGAGTGAGTGCGAGTGGTAGAGCGTGTGTTATAGAGCGAGAGAGAGGGTGATAGCGAGTGATTGAGAGAAATAGCATGAGCGAAAATGAGCTAGAGAATGATAAAGTGAGTGAGAGAAAGAGAGACGGCAAGAGCGAAAACGCAAACGCAACGATTTGCATAAAAGCTTTTGGGAATCTGCTGACCCGGGTCAGTTGTAGTATCGACTCGGACCATGCAGATCGATCGGCGAGAACATCTCTATATGCCCGCGGGCTAAAAAGCCTTCTTAGCACGTCAGCGATTAATAAAATTCGATAAAATGCCACGAAGCCGCAAATTCCGTACAGGTTTAACTATGTAATGATTTTATTCAGAATTTGGTGCGACAAATCGTTCATCGACTGGGTCTCATCCCACAAGCTGATCGCGCACGTGCTCGACAAATTCGATGCGCTCCTTGCGGCACCGGACCGTTTCACGGGTGTTCAACTAACAAAAAATTGTAATGAGCTAATGAAAAAAGATCGAAAAAACCTCGAGGAGCATCTCGTTGTAGAAGTAGATCTTGTAGGCGCGCGTGTTTTGGCACATCTCGGCCTGTTCGGCGTATAGACACTCGGAATATTGGGCCAAGTCCCAGCAGGTTTTCCGGGACCGTTCGTACTTTTGTGGGCACTGGTCGCTTGGCCGAAATTCACCGCAGGTCATCCGGGTTTGCACTGAAACGGAATAGATGGAAAAAGAGTCTGGAAGTGGATTCCGGCAATAATGCCGCGTTAAAACTGCTAGGATGTAAAAATACCGACAAGCCAAAATACTGAAAAGCCGAAATACCGACAAAAAAATACTGACTGTCACCGAAAAGTCGAAATCGAAAGGTCGAAAAAATACCGACAGAACCGACAACGACAGAAATAGAAGCGGACAGATAGCGATATGCCAAATGCCGACATTGGAAATCCCGACACTCTAAGGGCTTACAAGCCGGAATACCGACACTGAAAATGCAGACTCAAATGGGTTTGAATCTGCGCATTCAAAGACTAGATTTTTCATGTCGGTATTCTACCTAAGCTTTTTGTCGGAATTTCGATAATTTTCAGACAGGCTTATATTTTCCTATGGACGATTTTCAAACCAAAAAAATCTTACAGAAGCCCACGTTGTTGCCGCAGTTGTTCTGCTTGTAGTCGTCGACAAACTTCTTGCTGCACAAGCAGTGATAGGCTTGAAAGTTGGGAATGTGTCTGTTAAAGGAACCGGAAGTTAGAAAATGCAACAAAAGAAAACAACCGGCAAAGATTGTCAGCCCATCGCGACCGCTCCCGCGGGAAGTGTCTTGTGGTGATATTTTCGTAGCAGGTGGACTGAAAGATAGAACTTGAGAGACCCAAGTTAAATTATTGAAAAATCAAAAAGTTTAATTTACCTTTTCGGTAACGCACGGTTCCATTTTCGCTTGAACGCTGCAAACGGCAACAAGCACCAGTAGGCCGACGGAGGGTAGGGTTGCGGAATTCATGCTGTCGTTCTGATTTTCGGGTCCCATTGTTCCCGTTTTATTGAAGACACATTTTGACTAGACAAAATGACACAACAGTTCGTTGTCCAAACCAAAATAGTTCCAATTTAATTAAATTCCCTGAACTGGAGGGTGGGAAGACAACACAAAAACGTGATGCAACGACAGAATGATTTCAGGCGCTGTCGGAAGTGTTTTGCAAGTTGGTAGGTCTGTCATGGGAATTTTAATTTGGTTTGAAACTGAAGAATAATCCGCGGAAAATAGAATGGTTGGTGCTGTCGGGTTCGAACTTTGCCAATCACGTTAAACTCGAAAACGTCAATTTAGAATTTAATTAAGTTGCTTTATGTCGATGATTATAAAAAACCATAATACTACTAATACATATTTATTCCAGATTTCAAATGGAAAAATCTTTCGAATGAATTTTTTTTTGTGTAGTGCAATTTAGAATCTAGAGATTTAGTTCGTTGTGGCTAAGCTTAAAAAACACATTTATTATTTGAAACAACACGAGATAAAAAAAGTCGCTTTAAGCTACCACTAGCCAACGCGAGTGTAGATCATCAGCGCAAACAACGCCGACGACATTGAGGAAAAGACGGAGTGCCTACATTACATAAATTTTTTCTAACGGTTAAAAGCTACTTTGCGCCATTCACAGCGTCAGGATGGTTGCGTAGCAGGTCGAGTCGAATTTTCAGCACCGTCTTGGTCTCCTCGCGGCATTGGATCGAAGCCGAATTGGAAACCTATAAATCTTTATTCCATATGGGTTCCATCGATCCCGATTTTTGGACGAATTTGTTACCTGCAAAGCCATATGGTCTAGGTAGTAGATGGTGAATGGGACGCTATCTTCGCAATTCCGGGCCTGCTCTTCATAAATGCAAGCGGTGAGCAGCGCGATGGTTCTGTCAAATTTTACTTTGGCATCAGAGGTGAAGGAGGGTTGAAGCTATTTTCATAAGGCGAATTAAACTTTTTATCGCGTCAAAATAGTCGTTAGTGCCAGTCGTAAATTTCTCCAAATTTATGGCTAAAATCCGGTAAAGGTACGAATAATGGCGATGCAAAACCCGTATTTTTAAAAATTATCGCATAGTTTTCAGAATGCAAGCGGATACAGCGGCAAAAATTATATTGGAAGATCCAATAACGGCACCAAATTTATACTTAATCTTTGCAAGGATTTTTAATTTGATAAAAGTTTTTGGTAAAGCGAAGTAATCATTATAAATTGAGATTACAGCTCTTAGTATGATTTTTGCTTTCCCAGTTCAAATCTAAGCCTCAGCCTAAGCCTCAGCTCAAGCCTAAAGAAAGCCTAAGCCTAAGCCAAAGCCTAAACCAAAGCCTAAAAGCCTTTACGAAGCCTAGGAGTAAGACGAAGCCTAAACTGGCCGATTTAATAGGCAACACGAGGCCGTATATGTCAACGCCCCCCATTAAGCCACTTTTACCCAAAAACCTTACCCGCAATCCCTGCCGACATGTTCCGTGCGACAAAACTCGGAAGGCGGCCTTGGCCGGCAACTCATGTGCGTACGGACTAAGGTGTCGAACAAAATTCAATGTAAAAAAGCCCTACAAAATGGCAAAGCCGATCCATCAGCCGAACAGTGGCGTGCCTGGAATTCTTCACGAAATCCTGTGCTGCAGGGACAGGTCGAATGCTCCAGATTTCTGAATGTCTTTTCCAAAGCCTTCGACCGTCTTGGCTTACTCGCAGACACTGTCCACGTCTTCGAGCCGTTCATCTATGTAGCATATCCACTAAAAAGCTCATACAGGTTGTCCCAATAAAAAAACACCCCTCTCTAACTCGACGCAGAAGTATTGGATCGGAACGACACCCGTCGAAAGCCCGTGAAAGGGGAGTTTGCAACTATATTCAAAGCCATGTTTTTATTGAAATGCTCGATTTTGCAACGCATTTAAAAACCTTAAGGAACGGCATCTACATCTAATTAACGGCTACTTTCGGTCATTTTGCTTGTAAATTACCTTGGATGCAACCAAGAAAAACCGGAAAATTTTACAAAACGCCGTGCAAAATACTGGGTACAAATAAAAACATAGTTTTAAAAATTGTTGCAAACTCACCATTTCAAGGGCTTTCGAATGGTGTAACTATCATTCCAATCCGATACTTCTGCGTCGAGTTAGAAGGACTGTTTTTTATTGGTTCACTCTGTACTAGCTTACGCCGCTCTTCCCATTGACGCAACGCGGGCTTTCCAGGGCTTCCAGAACTACCAATAGCGCAAGGCCAGCTATGAGAAGCTGCAATAACATGGTGGCCGCCGAAGTTGACCACATAACGGTTCTTTGATTTGTTCGGTTGGCGATGCATCGGCCGCCGCCGCCAAAACAGCAACTTTTCACTTGATTAAAACGAATTCCGGCCATGTGACCTTCGTCGGGAAAACAAAAACATTACAGGAATTGACAAAAATGGACTGTATAGTTGCTGAACCGTTTTCGAGAGGCAAACTGCAAAAAATTTAGAGAAAAGTGTAAATTTTTGAGAATATACATAGTTTTATTGACCACACGGTTAATATTTATCGCAAAACCATGAAGCCCAGCCGCAGTCGATATCGAAGTGTTCGATTTTCCAAAAAATTCGAAAAATTATGCTGATTCCGTCTTTGCCTCCTGTTTCTTTTTTAGTTGTTTAATCCGTTGTGTCAAAATCTCGACACGTTCGTATCGGCAAGGAACATCTTCGGCCCAGGTATCCAACTAAACAAATATGACTTTTGAGGCAATCTATCAATTAGCTATTTTTTGACCTACATAGCTTACCAAAAGCGCCTCGTGAGCAAGCTTATGAAGCAGGTATTCATCGTCTCCGCGCCTGCATTTCTCGCTGTCTCTTTCGCACATGCATAAAAGGCGCTTGGCTATAGCCCTAAAATGGACTCCACATCGAACATCCCAGATGACCTACGAACAAGAAGAACCGACAAATCGATCGCCGCAAAATTTTCGAGTTTCACTATGAATTCTTGCTTCACATTCAAGCAACTGCCTGACTAAATTGGGAAAAATTAGCAGAAAATTTCTTAAGACCAACATAAAGGCTTCGCCTCTCCTCCTGGTGAACAATTCATTTCAACAAAACGATCGTGGAATACCCAAGAACATTGACAGGTAGCTTGGAGTTGCTTTAGATTTCTGAAAAGGAGTGTCGCTTTGGCAGCAGTTTAATGGAATTTCAATACACATCTTCAAAACGATATTTACGAAATACGCTCTTTGGAAAATCAATTTTCGCAATCTGAAAATCCACGCAACGCAATCAAAGTCTCGATTTTTAGAAAACTAACTTTGGTAAGAATTACATTCGAAAAATTACTTTTCGAGAAAGTGCTAGCCTAGCTTTAGCCTTAACACTACCGTTCCCGACCTAAACCTGTTGATGACCTACTTGCAGACCTGCTCCGCGACGTCGCAACCCCAATTTTGAGCAGCCACTAGATAACAGATTCCCTAGAATGGCATTCGTAAAGTTTCGGTTTTGAGACCCTTGACATTAAGCCTTGATTTAGGCTTGCTAGATGAGGGTAAAAACGCTCTCGATTTGGAGAACAAACGAACCCCATCCGGACTCGCACATTTCGGGTCTTCTCTCGTCAATAGTACACCAAAAATTGACAGTATTATGATACCGAAAAGGTACATAGCTAGGCTGGGGAATTTCAAAATCATTTGCGGTTCTTTCCAATCGTTTATGGAATCACATTCAACGCCTCCTTCTGTCCAAAAGACCGTCGGAAGAGCAGTTTTTGAAAGTAAACTGCCTTCTGGGCAATTTTTCGATTTCTGACTGAGCGTGCCTTTTAAAACCAATAGAAAGCCAAGATGCTTTATACAGTATAAAAAGTACAAATCGTAGGGCATGGTTATGCACATTTAATGATGGTCCTCCTTGTGGTTGTCGGGGTGGGCGGCGTGTCCCTGGCGAGCATGAGTGTGGGCCTTGGCGTGCTAAAATATCAGGTTTCTAAAGGCAAATCAACGTTTTCAAAGTGCAAAAAAGGCCTCTGCTGTGCACCCCTACCCCCAGAAGCGGAAAAGACAGATAATGACATAGAGAGGTGCATAGAAAAGTGACTACAAGTATGCTGAGAATTTCTAAAGCTAAACCTCGTGCTCCTCGGCGTGCTCAGCAGCCATTTTTTGCTAAAAATAGCTTTGAGTTTGAGCCTTTTATAGCTAGGCTCTTACGTTGAAATGGTTATCCGGGTTCGCAGCGAGACCTTTGCGGAGATGTGGGTTGAGGTGGGCATGCTGGGAAATGATTACGCTATTTAAATTTGGCGAAAGGTCGAGTTTCCTCTAGCTTCGATGGAAACGTAAAATACAGTATAATACGGCAGTGAATTTGGCTAATGAAAACCTTAAAAGTATCTAAACTACTATATAATTTGCTTTCCAAACCCTAGCCTTTAGACATGTTTCCTAAGAAAGGTACCTTGTCGCAAAGGACAAAATGTTACCAAACTATACCTCTTTCAAACATATACCAAACTGTAAACTACACATAAAACTACACACATCATGGCCCTCCTTGTCGCAGTGCTTCTCGTCGTGGTCGTGCGAGTGGTCGTCACCTCCGTGAGTTCCGGGCGCGAGAACCGGGCTCGTCTTGGTGCCCTAGATAACAAGAAAGGTTAGAAAAAAATAAATAAAATCCTGAAAAGCATTAATAAAATGATAAAATGAGTTACATGGTGCTGGTGCTCGTCCTTGTGAGGAGTGGAGGTGGCGCTGCACTTGTGCTGAAAAACTGGGGTTAGTAGGTTAGTAATCAAAAAAATTCTGATTTTTCATGGGAGTTTAGATTTTTCGAAATTCTCCTCTAAGAATCAGCGCTAATTTGCCCAGCGATTTTCCACGGTGTTTGGCTAGCAAAAATCATTTGGGAATTGTTTTGATCGGGGCAGGTGCCGTCAACGGCCACCAAAATTGCATGCCTCAAAGATTCCTGCTAGCTTGCCAATATCTATGCTGGTCTCTCGGGTTCGCTCTCGCTCTCTCTTTCTCTCCGTCTCTCTTTTATCTCTCTATATCTCGCTCTCTCGCTATTTCTTTCTCTCTTTCTCTTACCCTCTCTCTCGCACTCTCTCTCTCTCTCCCTCGCTTCCGGTTTCATCACCCGATCCCCGATCCCATAACAATCTCTCATTAAGCCCCTCTCCTCACCTCGTCGGACATTTTCTCGAAAGTGGGAGTGGGCTGTTTGGCACCGAGGGTCGATTACACCTATAAACACACGCATGGGTCAGTAAAAACGGACAGAAATGGATAAACAGAGGACAACTGACACCAAAGGCCCGCCTCTTGGCTGGGTGATAAGAAAAACAAGATCAACCACCCGGAATCAAAAGTTCTCGCAGGGCTGCTGAGACAACGCACACAATTGTCCTTGCCCCCACCAGAGATGAGACTGCTATTTTGTGCCCTTTTCGCGCTATTTGGTCTGGCTACGGCTGGATTGTATAGCCAATTCCAATCGGCTTGCACGAGCGAGCTGATCGCCGCGCCGACGTATAAGCGGAAGTTTGTGACGGCTGCGGTAGGTTTGGGGCTTGTTAAAAGCACAGCATAGTTTTCGACCTGTTTTTCCACGTAATCCGTTATAATACGACCTTAAAAAAATGGAAAAATATATTATTCGCAAATTTTTTAGTTCAACAACTATCTGGGCTGTATTCAAGATGCCGAACAGGATGAAGAAGCGTGTAAATTTTGCGTGAAAAAGTACCAGCTGACCGAGGATTACGTTACTGAGGTATAAAAAAAACTCATAGTCCTATTTTTAATGAATTTTTTAGGTGGTCCCGTGTGGAAAGGGCTTCCTAGAGAAGGTTAGCACCGTAGAGGAATGTATGAAAGCATTACCTATCTTATAAATCTTATATTTCTATGCAAATAAATTGTAAAATAATTGTTTCAAATTTCTAGACCAAATTATTAAAATCGTTTAGTTTAATAGAGAATCTAAGCTATTGAAAAACTGGAGGCCAGACAAAGACAAGTAGAAACTCTCGAAAATCAAGTAGAAGATCAGGCCCCAGGATCCCGAAGCCATACTACTCTACACCTAGATAAGCCCACCATTGCCCTTATATACCACCCTTGTTTGGGCGTAGCTTATTTTTTGCAACGATGCCACGCACTTGGTTTTCGGCCGGGCCGCGTAAGGGTACCCCCCAGCCTTCTGATAACCCGGGCCCAGGGCCCATATCTCCCGAACAAACAGGGCTCTTCGGGGGGTTTACGAGGCAAAACTCCCCGATTTTTTCGGCGTCTCGCCCGGTTTGTCAACAATATCTTAGGCGAAAATAGCTGGGGGAAGAGTCTAAAATTTATCAGACAAGTCGTTAGGGGTAGCTGTTGTAAAATGTGGAATTTGGTCGGCGGGGAGTAGAGCGATCGGGACTAAAATTAGGATAATAAAGAGCTTAGAATTTATGCAAAAAAGTATCATTAGTCTAATTCAGATCAAAACGGTTATGCTCTGCTTTAGCTAAAAAAAATTTAAGCCAGTAGACACCTCGTAAGGTAAGTGGAACAGATCTTTTCCCTAATAAGAAATTGGCTTTTCGGATTGCATTTTTGAGGTTTAAATCAGCGACATCGGTAACTTTCTTGAGCGAAAATAGGAATCTGTCGTGAAATTGGATTTTCGATGTCAAAATTTCCAAAACCACTATTGTTCAGTTCTAAAAGCGCCATTTCCCGACAAACAATGCATTTTGAGGACAAACTACAGTTTTTTTTCGGCGGAACCTTGTCCTTATTACATCAGACAATTAGCTAAAACAAGTTCTATTATCATAACACTTGCTTCCGGTACAATTTATCGCCTAAGGAAAGTTACGGATTTTTATACGTCCTCCCATGATAAAGGCTGGTCGACTTTAGAGTAGAATTTCACAAGTAAGAAAAAGGTGACTCGATCCAACAACTGAATGATAACCTAAGCTGCAGAATAGTATGCATGCCATGGGAATTTGAAGCGTTTCGCCTCACATCTGCTTTATGTGCTTTTCCGATGGGCGCCCCGACGCTGAACAAACAAGATATGCCCGAGGAGGGGTGATTCATCTGGATCAGGGTTTGGAAGGGAATGGATGGTGTTCCTGTCAATCAGAATTATCGATGCTGAATGAATCCTGTTATGACTAGGCTGGGATGACTCAAACATATAGGTCTATGCTAATAAACAGCCGACACCGCGCTGTACGCTTATAAAAGTTAGTCAGCATTGGTGAACCAAACTAGACACTTACAAAAAGTAGTTTTTCGGCGATATTGGAGTTTGGTAACGTGACATAGCTCAATTGATAGAGCCGCAAATTCTGAACAAATCGCAGCATTCCAAAAAAATTTAGAGTTAGAGGTTAGAGGTCTTATTTAGAGGACAATGTTTCTAAAAATGTATCTTACTTTAGGGTCAGAAATGGGCGAATGCGTTTAGAGCAGCTTTTCATTAAGAGCATAGTCCTTCAGAAATTTTTTAAAGATGGGACTCGTGCAGGATTTTGGGCTGGATCTTACATACTGACCAAACTCCAGGATCACCGAAAAAACCACTCCTTGTCATCAATTTGCCAAAATCGAGCCGCTATGTTTTGGCACCTTTGATACCTTCCATACCTTCGTGTAATCTAATGCGCTAAAAACGAAGTTTGAAGGAAGCCTCAAATAATAAAAATACTGATTTCCATGTGGAAACAGCATTCAGCAAGGATCCAACTGTACTGGTCGATCTTGTTTTGTAGATCTTTTAAAAGGACAGTGATCAGTCACAGCAAACCCCGATCAAAAATACAAAGGACATTGCAATGAACGGGGAAACAAATTCGCAACAAGCTTCGGATAGCATAGGTTAGGAAATTCCGAAGTATCGAAGCTAGGTTTTTCACAACGACTTCAACTAAGTTTTAGCTTACGCATATGACACGTTGCAGATTTTCTTCCTGGAGGCTGCACCTAACGTTTCAAAAGCGAAAGAAAAATCGTATCAGCACGGTATGCATTTGCGTTTCGCGAAATTAATAAAACCCACCGTCAGCTGCTGGCCATCGTTAATCTGAAAGAAAGTAAGATAAATTTAAGAGGTTTAGTTAATCATAGAAAGTTTTTTCAAGCTTTACCTCCTTGGCTGGGGCCAGTGAGTGCTCGCGGGTGTGGGAGCGCTTCTGAAAATGTCGACAATTTTATCGATTCCACTAGGAATAGGTTATATTTTTAATTTTTTTATACTAATTTGTATCATATTTCGTAAGCAAACGCTCACAGTTCGGATGATTTCTTCAGAACTCTCCGATGAGGGCACGACGCTCGGAAATGGGGTGGATTCCAACTGGAAAATCATGAAGGTACGAGGACCGACGTATGAAGGACTATGGAAACACAGCAGAGTCTTTCACTACGCTACAACACTAGCTACAGGGCATCAAGAAATACAAAAAATAGCTCTGTCTTTAGCTTGATGCTCTGTGCTCTCTGATTAGTAGGGAACTATCAAGTCTAGCGTACAATCCCTAATCTAATCTCTGGATCATTTCCGGACCTCCGCTTCGGCATTTTCCGCGTGGTAGAGCTCGCCGTTTTCGGTAACGACTTGGCGTCGCTGAAAGTTAAAAAATATCGAAATTTGAAAGTTTTCGGAATATCTAAAACTTCAGGAATAACCAGGAAAAATTGCGATAAACTTTAGGTTTAATGAGTCGGTTCGGAGTTTTGAGTAAGGGTTAAAAAAGATTGTTAGAGAAATCGGCGATGGAAACACAAATATTCGAATAAGATTTATTTAATTGACCGTTTTCTTTGACCAAAGTAGTTTTAAGCCATATAATTGTGCATTAATGGTAGGTAAATGGCGCTAAAAACGCGCAGAATACGCAATTTTCTGACTGAAACGGATTTTTGTGAGCGTTCAACACTAAAAAATTCGAAAACCCTCGAATTAAACAATATTCCAACGACACGTATATACAGCAATATTACCAAACCGGTACTAATTCTGACTATCAGAACACAGGATACATGTCTAATCACGAATCCAATAAAACCTTTGAGTCACCATCCTGGAAAACCCCTGCAACCCACCCCGGAAACGACCAATTTACGACCAATGCTCTTTCCCGAATTTGTCATCCCCTTCTTCGGAAGCGCCGAATCCAAGAAGACGTCCCGATAAGCCGCAGATCAAGTCGAAACAGGCTTGGACCTGGCGTGTTATCTCGGGATTATGAGGTGCACCCGGTTCGGGTATAAATGGGAATCGTGGAATGACGATTGGACATTTCCAGCTTGGCTTCTCGACTTCACTCTTGTGCTTGAAAATCTTCAAAGATGCGCTTCGTCTTGACCCTGCTGATCCCGATGGTGGTGCTGGCGGGTAGATGGTGTCCACCCGGGTCTTTTGACGTTCCGCAACAGAATGAATGTTTGCATACCGAAAGTGCACGTGAGTTTTGATACGTACTTTTCTATGAGATTTGTCAAATAGCTTTCGGGGCATATCTTAATTCCGCTACCTTTCAGCCAACACCTTCAACGTGGCCAGCCTCATCTGCGGGTATCTTGGCGGCGGACTCGTCAAGGTCACCAACGGCTTTGTCAACAACCTCGTTGCCGGCCAAGCGCTAGCTAGTAAGCTATCATTCAGACGGTTTTTATGGTGTTCTAGTCCTCTGGATACCCACCTATTCTGCAACTTCGAAGTATCCAGAGCAATCAGACTTTTTTAGCCCTCGGCGGCCAGAAGGCCTTCATCGGCATCGTCAAGTCTGGGCAGAATAACTGGACCTACGTCGACGGAAGCCAGCTAACATACCAGAACTGGCAGCAAGGTATTGTTTTCGAAAATATGGGCCAATTATTCTGAATCCCAGGACAACCTGGCCAGGAGAACGGACAGTGCGCCGTCATCGACCCCGTTTCGCTCCAATGGGTTACCCAGGATTGCAAGAGCTCGCTTAGTTACTTCTGCACTATCCCCGATATTGGTAAGAGAGGGAGAGAGAGAGAGAGAGCGAGAGAGACAGAGAGAGAGATAGAGACAGAGAGAAAATGAGAGAGACTGTGAGAGAGAGATAGAGCGAGAGAGAGAGAAAGAGCGAGCGAGAGAGCGAGAGAGTGAGAGCGAGAGAGCAATAGAGAGAAGAGCCAGAAAGAAACATAACCTTTTAGCCACCCCTTGCCCGAATGGCTGGACCTACTTCTACGACACCGAGTCCTGTTACCTCGTCCACGTAAGCATAGTTTCAAATGGCCAGGATATCAATTTTTTTAGCAAACCTCGGACCCGCTGTACACCTACAGCTCTCAACGTGCCGAGGCTGAGTGCGCAAAGCTAGGCACGCACCTCGTCTCCATCCACAGCGAGAAGGAGAACAGCTTTGTCAAGAGTAAACCTTTGCGGCCATAACGTCATTTGTTTTTAGGGATTATTGCCACCGACAACGCCGACAAGCAACACTGCGATGTGGCAGAGGTGGCCATTGGGTTGACGTGCAGCAACGCTGCGTTCAGGTATTTTTCAAGTTTTTGTAAAGCGTTTTATGCTGCAAGAAAACTAATACTTCAATATCAACGCCATAAAATATCAAAATAGAAAGCAAATGTCGCGTTAACAAACTATAACTTTTTTTAGCTGGACTGACGGCTCGCAAATCGACTACAGGGATAACGCATCGCTGTGCAGCTCCCAGAACTGGGTCTATGGGGTAAGTTAATTAAGATTCTCGGCTACTTTTCCATAGCCTGTTTCTCTAATTTAGCAATGAAATAATTATTTATTATAGATGATCAACGACCCTTACTGCAACACGACCCAGTACCAAAAATGGGACGAGTGGCAGATCAACCAACAGTTCTCACGCTACGTCTGCAAGATGGCGGCTCATTAAAAAATTCTTAACGATCTCAACACGAATAAATGGGTTATTTTATTTAGCTACAACATAAAAAGGCAACCATCATCTTCAAAAAATGAGACAATTATCATGGGCACTGACCAAATCCAACCATTGGGACGAGTGGCGCGCCGCCAAGTGGTTTGCGCGCTACATGTGCGAAATCCCGCGCACTAATGTGAAGACGATAAATAAAAACATACTGTATCTATATAAAAACTGTAAAAAAACCATCGCATTACGGCATGAAAACACTCACCATTCGCATATGGCGGTTCATGACGCCCTGATGGACGCGCTCGAGGTTCGCCGGGGAGAGAGCACGCGGGGTCTGAAAAATGTAAAATAGGTTAGAAACTAGGGAATCAAATTTTTTTTATACTTCAAAACTTAAATAAAAACTATGGAAAGATCTATTCTGCGATCTATGCACCATAAATTAGTACTAAAAATACCTCGGGGTTAATTTCTGGGTTTTTTTCCATGCCCTGCTGGGTGAGTACCGCGGCCTGGGGCAACTAAAAGTGGTTTCTAGCGCTGGCAGATGAACAAAAAAACGGCTCAGAGCGAAGAACAGACCTCGGTGAACTCGGCGGAACGCTTCTAAAAGCAAAAATATTCTTTCGCTGTTAACGGAGTCAGGGCTACCTGCGGCTTGTGATTTTCCGGGTTGGCGGCGTGGCCCTGACGCGCGTGAGTCTGGGATTTCGGGAGCGGATTTTCGGCACGTTGCTGTTGCTAAAACTCGGAATTGTCAGTTGTCAGCGACGGTGGTATTGAAACACATTGCAAAACCGCTAAAATTTACGTTGAAGTGATTGTCGGGATTGGCGGCCAGCCCCTTCCGCGGCTTCACGTGATCGTCCTGAAAATGAGGTGATAGAATAGATACCTAACTAACTCTGGCCACCGTTTCACAGCAAGGCATAAATTTATGTGGATCCAAATCACTGTAGACAACCAGGGACTGTAAATTTTGTAACTTTCACGTATTGCCCCTGACCATCCGTTTTTCCGTACCGATACTATATGCGCCGATCCGACCGTCATATGAAAAAAGAGTCTTTGAAAAAGTCTTTTTGAAAAAAAGAGGAAAAGCGCTGTGTTTCTGTTCGTGAAGTTTTTAGGATTTTTGTGGCGCGTTTAACATCTATTTAGCTTGCCTTTAGCGTAGCTTAAGGCCCGGTAAGCATGGTTTTGACTTCCCGAACCCTTTAAGCTAGCTGTCCTACGATCCTCTCTCTTTCTCGTTCTCTCCCTCTCTTTCCCTCGCTCTCTCTTCCTCTCTCGTTCTCTCTCTCGCTCTCTCTTCTCACCTGGTTCCTCTTCACTCGCCCGCCGTCCAAAATGCTCTCGAGGTTGACGTGGCGGAGAAAGCGCTGAAAATAAATGGCCTCTTTTGGGGGCTATGAATAATTTCTTGGCATGGCCTGAGGGGGCCACTCGGCCATGGCCATGCCGATAGCCCCCTATCCGTCTAAAAGCTCCGAGATTCTCGAGGGGCTCCTGGACGCACGGAAAATGGGGGAAGTTTTCGAATAAAAAATGGGAATCCGCGCTCCCACACGGAGGAAGCCGCGCTGTTTCGAGGGCTGCTAAAGGCGCTTATAGCGGATTTACGGGGATCTTTTCATTCTTCTGTGGGCGGAACGGGGGACTGGAATTTTTGGGACTTGAGAATATCTGTGGAGTTTGAGACTGGGTTTTAGTGGATACCGCACGTTGAGAGTGTTATGCGCAAAATTTTGAGCGTCCTTTTAAAGTCTAACGCTTCCTTTCCTCTTTGAATGTCTCAAAAAGTTATAATGATAATTAATTCATCGGATTTGATCAAGGAGCCTCGATTGCGCTTGAGCTTGCTCCACCCTTCTTTTTCCCCTCGCTTTCTCTTGCTCTCTGTCGCTTTCTCTCTCTTACTCTCTCTCTCTCTCGCTCTCTATCTGTCTCTCTCGTTCTCGCACTCTTCAACTCCCCCATCAAAAATGCGTGCTCTCATTGTCCCGCGGACCTATTTGTTTTGCCCAAATTTTACAAAAAGAACAATCATAGCCCATGCGAACACCGAGACATGTGAACCAAACACCACAATCCCCTCTGGGCCGCGACGACGGCTCCAATTTCATAGCCGCGCCATCATTTTTTGTGCCCGCCCTTGGTTTTTCGGCATAATTGGGTCATTTCCGGAGTGCGGCCGGTGTTGCCGAGCTGCCCAAGAGGTTCAGCGGTACTTTATGGAATTAGTTTCGTAAGCATTTCATATCATCCCCCGATCTTGTAAGATCTAAATTATATTGTGAAATTTTTCGGGGTCGGCCCCAATTTTACGTTCTTGTCGCAATCCTTTTACTCTGGTTCATGCAAATTAATGTACAAAAAGTGCATATACACCCGTTTATTAGAGTTTTACAAAAACTCGAACATTGAATTATTGTAAAAACACAAAAATAACTGAAAACGACATGATTATCATCAAAAACGGGCTCGCAAAATTATAGTTTGCTGTCTTCACCGCATCGTGTAGAGCTTTTGCCTAAAAAAGTTAGAAGCTATAAAGCATAACGTGTCTTTATGCCATATTAGAGCTCCAATTCGTCTATCTAATCGGCACGAGCAGAGTTTAGCATTTATCGCAATTGAATTCAGCGAAACGCGTTACCGTGTAATAACCGCGAAACCACAAGCTACAAAGCCCAAAATTAGCCACCCTAATAACTCCAGCAAATGGTTAATGGAATCCGGACATGCATGCCATGACAAATATCATATATTGCCCCAGGTCTCGAGCTCCTTTCGCCGGGGCTTCATCTCCCCCTGAGGGTCCCCAAGCGAATGCTCATGCACAAAATATTTTTGGCAAACCACGCACACACGGCCAAACCGCGGGCAATAATTCTTTGATGAATATCTTATTTGCCGGGGCGGGGAGGGGGGGGGTTGGGGGTGGTCAGTCCGCATCACTTTTCCGGAATTTTCCGGAAGGGAAGAAGATTTTCCGCGGTTTAGGTTTCTTAGCAACTTTGGAGGTTTGAGAGAGAGAAAGGGGAGGGAGAGAGAGAGAGAGAGGGAGAGAGAGAGAGAGTGATGGAGGGAGAGAGAGCGAGGTAGACGGAGCGAGGAGTGAGAGAGCGCAGAGAGCGAAATTGACGTCCAAAAGCTTTGACAATCAAGCTAATTTCCCCACCTTCGGCACCTCGATCTCAGTTCCATTCTTCTTATCTTCGTCCTCCTCCTCAGAGCTGCTCTCAGAAGATTTCTTCTCGGCCTTTTCCTTCTCTCCACGCTCTCTTTCGCGCCCTAAACTTTTCAGATTTTTATACTACGTTTCAACGACTAACTTTCCCGGTTTTTGCGACCAAAAATCCTAGTTTTTGCCAAATTTTGCAAATGGATTTGTACTCCAAACCCTAAGGTCCATAAATAGCTTATTCATACCCCCAGGGAGCCGGAATTTCCGATTCCAGCCCTATGGCCGGGCTTAGTTTGGCCATCTCTGCTATTCCAAGATTCCCCCATAAAAACACGCTTCTTATTCCGGGGCCTGGCCCCGTCATTGTTCTCCTCGGGACCGCGTTCAGAATATGGAAATTGAAACTCGAGCCCCCTTCCTTCCCTTTTCTTTGATATCCATACCTTCGCCGTCCTTGTCATCCTTCTTACTGCTGCCACCTTCCTCCATCGTCGAGCCGCCTAAAATTGGGATGTTTTACCGTAGACTTGGGGTATTTAAGGAGCTATCTAGTTGTTTAATCATTTTAATTGTTAAAAGTTTTTATTTATTTAATTCTAAGGTATTTCAATTGCCTTGCTTGATTTAAAGTTGAACGGGAACAGAATTAAAACCTCCGAGTTTTTTTATCTCATTTAAATCATGAAATTTCGAAATAAACGTTTGATTTTTTGTCTGATTTTTGCTTGTACCTGGCGTAAATAATTACTAAGTGATCTCTAAAAGCCCAATTGCTATATTTAAATAATTTATTTTAATTATTTGTTGACCTTTCTGTCGTAGTTTGCGACTTTTACCTGACGACAAATCTCAATTAATCTCCGCCAGCTTGCCCTACCTTTTTGCCTGTTTTTGTATGATATTTTGAAGAATATGTTTTTCAAAGATTGCCGAACCCCAGAATGTTCCAGTAGAAACTTTTTTCTTCTGTTTTTATGGCTTCCCTCCTAATTATCCGGCGCACATGTTGGTTCACCCGGCATTCCCCATTTTTCCATTAAAACGAACGAAAAATTACTCATAAAACGTGAATCTTCTTAGGTTTCGTCCAACTATGGCTTCCCGAATTTCTGCCCGCCGTTCTTTAAAAATACCAAAAAAAACAGATTAGCGTCAAACGGCTCAGGGAGTTTTTTAGGGCCGGATTTGCGAATTTTATGAAAACCTCTTTTAGACGGCCCGGATCCAGATCCAAATCCCCGGGTCGAAGCTGTACTTCTGCCATCCTGTACCATTCAGACCTTTTCAAAATTGAGCTGGAGCTTTGAGGATTGCCCAAACAGATTAGACTTATTTGGGGGCAATCTGATGGTTTCGGTCTGTTGGGTTTACCGATGTTTTTCAGATCCGATCCTAAGCGGTTTTTAGGGTTTCTGCTGTATATAAAGGCATACTTTTGGAAGGTCAAGTCGTTCTTAGAAATTACATACATATTTCTCTCCCAATTGTTTATCCAAGCCACTATACTGTTTTTTTTTAATTTTCTACTGCCATGCTTTACCTAACTTTTTATGCAATTTCATCAAGCTTTTTTTGATGTGATGGCCAACTTTTCAGGGTCCTATGACTTTAGAAAAATGGGAAAAGTTGTTTTGATCTGCCCCAGGTTAAGAATATAACTCAAAATTACCCGTAGTCTCCTCGGCGTCGTCATCATTCCTGTTCTTCTTCTTTTTGCGATCTCGCGACGCCGCGTCCACGTCGGACAGCAAGGCGACGGCCAGGAAAAATACGAACAACAATTTCCAATGCATTCTAAATGATGGCTTATTGTTGGTGGGGATTTGCAAGTCTGGGTGACCCCAAAAAACACTTGATGTGGTGAAGCGTTAAGAATAAGTGGAAGAGTCACTTTTGCGTGGGAGATCAACAACAAAAGTAAGATTTAGTTTAAAAGGCTCTATAAATGGGGAGTATAGAACTGTTTGTGCGGTCTTCTTCAACTTCCGCTTGGGCCCATCCTTTCTTATTTACTCTTAGGGTTCCCTAATCTCAACGGCTCGTTTGCAGGGAGGTCAGAATTGAATAGGATGGGTAAATAGTGGGTTGGTTTTGCAACAATTTTGAGGTTTTCATAACTTTAAAAGTATCGAATTTTCAAGATTTTACTACAATTATTCAGAGCTGTTAACATGCAAAAAATGGAAACGTCAAAAGTGCACCCATCATTTTAGTAAAAAAGCGGTCTTGAAGCCTAGTTAAGTATGAAAAGTTTTGTATTGTTTTGTATGGTATACCCCGTTAGTTTTTCTGATATGAGCAGATGATATCTGATCAAAAACACTGAGAAATAGGATAAATTTACTCGGTAGTCCCATAGAGCCTACTTTCCGAGTTTATGGATTCGGGTCCACAAGTCCCCAAATGTTTAAGGTACGTTAAAAGTAGTTAGATAATGAAAAGTAAGCAAATTAAAACTAACTATGGAAGATATCAACTAAATGCTATGTAGAAACCACGCCCAAACGATAGTTTACACCTTCCCCCCCCCCGCCATGGTCAAGCGGCAAAATAGAAACAATAGGTGAGGAAATGATGCTGGTGGTTGGTAGCTGGGTGCTCAATGATATTTGGGATAACGAAAGTTGTTTATTTACGCCCTGGGCTCTAAAGCTGCTGATATCAAAAGTGCTTGGGGTGAGCTGGGGGAGATAAATTGTTGCCCCGGGGGCACAGGGGACGCGGCTGTCGATTTGGATTTGAGGGGGGAGGGAGTATAGTTTTGTGGAAATAGATAGAGCTTCTGGGGTCTTAATTAATTATTTATAATTTTTTAGATAGATATAAATAAACCCACAGGTGTGAAAATAAAAATCTAAAAATGCCTTGAAAAGCTACAAAAATTACCGTATCCCTAGCTATAATTTATAGTTGCAATTAAGTGAATGAATAAATTTTTAGGAAAATAACTCGTATATTTTTATCGCTCAAAAATCGTTTAAAGATTTTTTAGATTTCCTCAAGCTCTAGATGCGAAAAGACGCTAGAAATTTTTTGAGCCTCATGAGCATCACTACCGAATGCTACGAAACGCTCCTATATCCGCTAGCCACACCCATTTTTTTATTTTAAGGTATGACTCATCACCCAGATGCTCGAGTTGGCCCATTTCAAAACCAGATGACTAATTCCACCCAATTCCCCTCAACTTCTGACTTAAAGGACCATTGAATACCCTTTTTGTCAATAGAAAAAAGTGAAAAACGAGCGGATAGAGGGATTTTCTAAACAATGAATAGCTGAGAGACACTCGCCTTTAGGATCGAGAAAGAGCGCGCGGATGGACGACGACCTTTAAAAATTGATTGCTCACCGCGCGGGAGTGTGGGGGAGCGAACTAGGTTTCGGTATGTATTGCTTGCTTGTCGCTGACCATTTGGGTGGGTGAAAGGGACAAGGTTGTTCTATTTGGTCGCCGGATAAAGCAGCATAACGCGAACCAGTAATCGGCAATTCGCGGCGATCAGAAATCGAGCAAATAGAGTATTAAAATCATTTGGGACCAATTTTCGAGCAGTGCTTGCGTAGGTTTCACTGAGAAGCAACAGATAAAAATCTCAAGCTGTTCTAGTACACGAAACTGTGGAGGAATTTGGGAATTTCGCGCTATGTTGATTGAGAATAGACAAAGGGGGCGTTAGGAAAATTATTGCTAACTTGCTAACTTAGAAAATTGCTTAAAGAGATGTGGACGGCATCTGTTGAACCCCCCTTGGGGAGGGGGTTCAACAGGTCCCCGGCGAGAGAGGGCGCCCAGGGAGAGGCGCAGAGACATTTTCTTTCCCACGCGTAATCGATTGACTTATGCCGCCCCTATCTCTTTAAACAGGCACAGCTTAGCCAGAATCGGCCCTCGAAATCAACTAGGTATCGACAGCTACGTTTCGCAGCAAAATACGCGTTAGGCTGATTCTGCTAGGTCAGAAGGAGATGATATATGGGCGTCTATTGGGCTCTCGAGTAGCTCTGGTTGCCGCCGTCGCCGCAAAACGTAAGCTTCGAAGCTTGTTGAGCTTTCCGAGTCCAGTCCAACAAGCCAGAAACCTGCGCTCCGATTTGGCAGGGTGCCGGCCTTGTCAGGAGTTAAAAAAGATCAAATAGTTCTCACTGAAAAATAAAATCTCATAAGTTGGCAAAGTTTTGCAACATTTCAAGGCTCCGGCGCCGAGTTCCCGGTTTCCTATAAACGATTATCCGCATCAAAAAAAAAAAAAAATAAGGGTCCCCTTTAGGGTTTTTTGGGGCCCGGCCGGGGTGGGGGGGGGCCGGGGCCCCGGCACTTCGACGTGAGACGTTTCTAATGCCCTCTTCCATTTCCGGGTGCAATCCATTCCCTATGTTTTTTCATCACCCAACCCCGGTGTCCTTACTTACAAAAAATCAGCCTGGAGCCTCCGGGGGCGCTTGATTGTTGGCTTGCACGCAATCGACCCGGCCGCAATTTATCGCGAACACTCCGCGAAACACATCACCACGAACAGTTGCTTCGCGAGACCCGGGAAGAGAGAAAACATCTTTTTCTAACGGCAGACCTTACCCCTGCACACGTGGGCCATTTGGGGCACGGTTAGCGGGCTGAAATATTGTGGGTGGTTATGGTAGATGTGGGTTGGAGAAGAGCGGGCCGGGAATGGGGTGTGAGATTAGGGCTAGAAATCAGTTTTCTGCAAATGTTGAAAGCTTTGCAAGCTGTGTCGTTGGGAATGGAATGTAGCCAAGTTGAACGCAACGATTTTTGACCCCGTCCCAAGCCGAAAACTAATGCTAAACCGATTTTACGTTATTCAACTCTTAAGGCCAAATTTCTCCTTGGTTTGCTTCAGGATTTTGGGCGTTTTTCCATATCATATCATTTTTATAACCCGGGATATCGGTTTTCGTTTTGGGCTGGATACAAATTTTCGGAGCTAAATAATTTGTGGAGTTTGGAAGGTAACTTATTATATTGCAACGTAAATTATATTATAAAGGGCTACGGTTTTTTCTTTACCCCGCTCTGACCTTATAACGCTTTTCCCAACTCGGATCCCACCATTTCCGCCTCATTAGACTTTCCAGTTCAGTTTTTAATTGTACCAAATTGCTATTTTCAGGATTTACCAACTCTTTTTGTGTGAGTACCAAGCTGAGAGGCGCAATACTTTGCCCCAAGACGTACCGCCAAAGCCCGCCATCCTGCACCAAAGTCCGCGCAACACCCACGCGTACGGTCTGGGAACCATCCCTCATCCCACGGTTCAGCCGGGCCCCGAGATTTATCGCTGATCATGGTTCCCCGGCTTACCCAACATCCACAAAACCGAATGTTGTAGTTGCGAATGTTTGGGAGAGAGAGACAGAGAGAGAGAGAGAGAGAGTGAGAGAGAGAGAGAGACTATCCTCTTCCAAAACGGAGAACCAAGATCGAAACTGCAAAAATCAGCAGCTAGTGCCGCCCCGGATTCTCAGCTGACGCCGGGATTTGGGGAACCCGGCCGGATTATGGTAGCTCTGTATATAAGTGTCAAGCGGAAGGCAGGAGCTAGGTCTTTTCTACTACTTAATGCTTTTTTAAAGGTACTAGGAACCGTCAGAACCAGCCTCTTACATTGGCTAGGTCTCGCAACCAAATCAATTATTTTGAGCGCGGGTTTCTTTATAGTGCGTATCTGTCGAGACCTAGCTAACGTAGAGGGTTAATTTTCCGCTATCCCTAGCCCTTTAACATGAATTTTTTGGAGAAAAATAACATTCAAATTTTTACTACAACGCTTCTTTTGTACTCAAACCTCCTGTTTTCCTCTTCATTTTTGGCCTACAACTCGGGCGAGAACTTTTATTTTATAGCGTCCACTGTTTTTTGGTGCTCTGCTACAAATTCGACCCACCGCCCAAAAAAAATCATCTCTGATTACTGGGGATTGTTTTCTGAAGGGGCCCATTTTCAGGCCCGACAGAATTTTGCAGCCTCCCCCACCACCTGCCCTCATTAGGAATCCCCGGCGGTTCCCGGTCTTAAAATAAATGGAATATTCGAGAATCTCAATGATCTACGAGTTTTCGGAATTACATTTAAAGGGCCCGGAAAGCGCCAGACCCGACCGTTACCTTGACTAGGTTTCGATAGCTGCGCGTTGCTCCAAATTACCGATATTTTTGCTTTTTTTCAGTTATTTTCCTTTTTACGTAAAATGATAGCAGCAGCGTAGCAGAGATCAACTGCATTCGAGATCCAGCCAGCGAGGGGGTCCATTTTGAGCTTTCACAATCCCATTAAGATGCTACATAGCTGTCCAGACCCAGCTGATGTCAGGGTCGATGTGAGCGTCCACAACTTTTAAGATCCTTGATTCCAAAATTCCATACCCTCAAGATCAGAATCCAGTTTCTAAAACCAACCACTGCTTCCAAGAATCGCAACATCTGGCGGCCGGGGGCAATTTCGGAATTTTAATGAGCACCCAGGCCCGGCGAACCCCTCACAAAATGAGGCCAAGGCCCAATTTTGCAACTTTTTTTTAGCGCTTTTACCCGGCTCGGCAGGAAACTAACAAGCGAAAATTTCTTGGCCAGAGCTATTACTGTCGTGGGTCCAGGTTTGAATTAAAATTTTCAATAAAGAATTCGTGGTTTCAGGTTTTTTGGTCAGCTAATTCGTGTTTGAAGAGTAAAAGAGAGACTTAAAGAATTAAAGATGTACGTTGTTTGTTAAATTCTTTAAATTTTCCGCTGCTAGACATCGCCCCGACGATTTCTCACTTTTTTTCATGTCCGAAAATCGTGACGTTGCTGATCTCGGTTCGTCCAATGGTGTTGTTAGTAGTCCTTATTTTTTTCTCTCTCTCTCTCTCTCTCTCTCTCTCGCTCCCTCTCTCTCTCTCTCTCAAACAAAACGTTTCCCTCCCCATTTAGGAATAAAACCCGTCTCCAGCCCACAAACACCATAATGGAATGATAATAATTTTGGGGGAACACCCCCTGGGTTTCGGCGAAATTCCCACCTGTCAACCCGCGCCACGAGGCCGGCACCAGACTGGGGGCAAAAAATAGGACCAACAGAAAAAGAAGCTATTGGCCTAAGAGTACAGCTATAAGGGCAGCATTCCTTCACTAACAAAAGCAAAACAAACCCATCCCACGTAGAGCGAGAGGTGGGCGGCTGTCAGTTTACCTTGAAAATGTTGGATATATTCGGCAGAGAGTTGGTTAGGCGGTAAGGATTTGAGGACGTTATTCAGTGTCATAGGATAGGTCTCTATCACTGACTTTTTCATGCGCACCAAAAATATTGTTTTTAAACCTAAAATTTCTAATTTTTGCCCCGCCAAGCATTCCTTGCATTTGATTTGTCTGGGCTGAAAAATCATCCGATTCACTTCCCAATCTCTGCATTTAAATTTGGAAAAGCTAATTTAGATTTCGTTACACTACTTTTGAAAACTGCTAAATTACCGAAAACCATAGAATAAAAGCGCTTTTTGAAGCTTAAAAGCTCCAAAAATAGATCCGACGCGAACAACGGCTGATGATTTTACCGAAGTTTTGCTGACATTCCACTTCCCCAAAAAATCCGGCTAACGCTATAATCTGCGATTGCAAGGTATTTTTAGTGCCTTCTAGCCAGCTGAGAACATAAATTGCATTTTTCACACTGATATTCAGCAATTTCCATTTATTTGAGGTTCAGGTTCATTTTTCCTTGCCGCAAAATTGGCTTATGTCAACAAAAAGCCTCAATGGCAAATCTGATTTAGGCGATGCGCAAGGCTGGTAAATTTGATTTTTCGTAATGCAGCAGAGTTCTATGATGTTCTTTGTCGGGACCTCTTGATGTCCTTTACAGGTCTTATCCTTATCTCTCTCTGTCTCTCCACTCTCTCTCTCCCTCTCCCTCTCTCTTGCCCTCTTTGCCCTTTCCCCCGAGATCATTGCGTAGATTTTTGGGCAAGTGGATGACAAATTCGTGCTAAAATCAAAAACCAAGTCTCGGGTTGGGCTAATCAGGATGGCACTTTACGGGAAAACATTGAAAGTTGATTTTCAAGAGCTCCGAGCGTATTTAGTAGCGTACTGGAACAACCCCATCTATAATGTGAAATTTCCCTTGAACTGACCACCCTTGACCGCTACGTTTTCCTCCTTTTCCGAGCTTCAGATCTGTGACCCTCTCCCCCTTTAATTACCATTATTAACGACCCTTTCAGCTCGAACACCACTGTGGAGAATGACGGAGAACACTAGAACGAAGCTGCTCGGCAATCCGCTGTGAGTCTTTTCTATGGAGGAAATGATATCTGTCCCAGTCTGTCTGTGTCTATCTGCGGCTCCCCCTGAAAAGGGCGGAAGCGGCGAGGAGGACGAGGAGAAGGAGGAGGATCTTCTCCTCCTCCCCCTCATTTTCACAGCTTTTCAGCCGTTTTTCGGAAGTTTAGCGCTCGCTTTTGAGGTCTTAAAAATAGATTGAAAGTTACGTAGGGATGCCATTCACTATTTGAAGCAATTTTTCGCCAGGTTTAGAATCTCGGCCTTGCAATCGAAGCATAAGCTAATGATCCTATGCTAAGCCGGCCTAAGCCAACCTAAGCTAAGCCTAAGTCGACCCTAAGCTTAAAAGGCTAGGCATCTTTTTTTCATCCAGAAATCCAGAAATTCGCACCTTAAAATACACATTTTCGAACGTCCTTTAATGCTCTTCCACCCTCACAAAATATTCACCCATTCCGTTCGGCAACTCCGGACAAACCCGAAAGTGCTTTATTCATCCACCTCCACCGCCAGTTCAGAGCATCCATGCGTACTCTCGGCTTTTACCGCCGCTTTGTCCCGATTTTTCGCGAATATTTTTTGGAACTCCAGCCCTTGGCAAGACTTGGAACCACCTAAAATAACTCAAGCTCTTTTTTCGAGTTTTCGAATTCCATCGGCCCGTTTGATACCCTATCACGTGTCAAATTTGACACCTTTTCGGGGGAGAAAATGGGGGCGGATGACCGTTCCGATCATTTCAATGGCGGGTCCATAAATTATCGAAGAACCCGTCCCGTCAAAAGGAATGACGGGCAGTTCCGCTTTTAAAGAACGTGATTCACGTTTTTTTTGCCCTAGAAATTGGGAAATTTGTTTTGAGACTAGTTTCTATAATCTCGGAAATAATTTTCACGCGACTAAAACTTTCTGAAATCGGCGTTTATTGCTGGTTCTTAATTTTTTTTACTTTAATAAATTTTGTCATATATCTGGGGCAGAGAAAATTTCTGAAAAATAGCATCCGAAGAGCTAAAATTGTAAAAAAATTGCAAAATACGTTTCATCACTCACGGAACATCTTTTTTGGGACCAAATTCAGGTATAAATCGCTCATTTTAAGCTTAATAATAGATATGATCGATACCTCATATTCGTAAGGCTAAAAAACTCAGCTAAAAATCCATGAACTTCAATAAAACATCGAAAAACAGTTCCGTCCCAACCGGCGCACCCCCACCACCTTACTGACCGCTTCCGCCAGTCATAAATTTTACGAAACGACCCGGAAAAAGCAGATCCAGCTTTGACGGAACCGTCCGCTAGAGCTGTTCGATCCGCCAAACAATCCTATTTTGTCGCCGATCCACCTCGTACTCAATTTCCTCCTTTTGCAGGGAGCCCAGCTATCATCTGGTCGCCTCAGCCAACACAATGGAAAATGGAGACTTCAATGTGGTGGGTGGTCCTTTTTGCAGCAAGTTGCAGATGAGAAAGCTTGTTAATACGACAAAAATATACGATTTTTTAATCATTTCTCTGATTGAACAAAATTTACAAGATTTAACCGACTCCTTGCGCGGTTTTTCGCTTTAAAGGATTTCGGACAGGAAACAAAATATAAAAGCATTGGATGGCTTTAAAGAAATAAACAAGGTTTGGGTATGAATACCGCAAGGATTTTCCCGCGGCGACGCAACGCAACGCATAGAACACGCAACGCACGCGACCGTCGCTTGTAGTGTGGACTACATTCGTCTTCATCTTCTCAAAATCTAGCTACCAACATGAATCCTATCTACTTCGACACACCCTTATCTTTAAAAATCACATGAAATCATCTGCCCCCCTAAACCGGCTTCCCTCCCCGGTCAAGCTGCCAGACATTCTGATCAACATATCACGTTTCCTCTCAAATTTCGTTGATCGCCAAATTGTTTTTTAAAAGACGCGCTTTTCCTTGAGACGGTCTAGCCATTTTCACCCCCTAGCATTTATCAAAACCAATCCTTGACAACGGGAATTTCAGGTGGAAAAGAAGCACCGTAACGTGCACGGGATGGGCTGGCTGGTCACGTGTCTTTTCATCGTCGGCGAGACGGCCGGAGGCGGGTTGATCGCCCTCCCTTCCGCTCTGGCCAATGCTGGTGGGAATATGAATGTTATCATGGCCTTGAGAGCGAGAGAGCGTGGGAGCGAGAGAGAGAGAGAGAGAGAGGAGAGAGAGAAGGCTAGAAAGTGAAACGTCTGTCTTATAATGATCAGCGGCAAGAGCAACTTTCTGATCTCTCATTGTTGCCACGTGAAAGGGAGCTACTAGAAAAACTATAAAGTCGATAGAGAGCGAGAGAGAGAGGGGAGAGAGTGTGAGAGAGAGATAGAGAGAGAGAGAAGAGAGAAGGGGAGTGAGAGTGGGAAGTTACCTTCTAACAATAAGCTCTATTATACACCGTAACCCTCAAATTCAGGCCTTCCCGCCGGCCTCCTCATCATTTTTGTCGTCGCCGCAGCTTGCATGTACACCGGAATCCAGCTATCCGAAAACTGGACCATCCTGCAGCAACGATGGCCAGAGTACAGAGAACACTGCCGGAAACCGTACCCCGCGATGGGGAACCGGACGCTAGGACCGCATTTTGGGTATAGATTTATCTATTTAATTCATCTAAACGTTTTAGGAAATTTGTCTCGCTTTGTCTGGACTTTACTTGCTTTGGGACGGCCGTTGTCTTCTTGTTGCTAGCTGCTAAAAATATTGAGAGCTTCTTATTGGCGTTGGGAGGAGTTGAGGTAGGTAGAGAGAGAGAGTGAGCGAGAGGGTGAGAGAGGGAGAGAAGAGAAAGAGAACGAGATAGTGAGAGACAGAGAGCGAGAGAGAAACTCCGACTCTTATTTTACCTTTTTCAGCTCGGCTTCTGCCAAATCCTGATCGTGGTGGCGATTTTCATCTTTCCGATCACCCTACTAAAAAGCCCTAAAGATTTCTGGTGGGTTTTCAGTTCATAAAGGCAATACTTCTGACTTTCAAGCCAATTTAATTTTCACTTCAGGTGGGCCGTCATGCTCGCCATGGTCACCACTACCATCGCCGTCTCCCTGATCATCTACGGCTCGATGGAGGACTACCCAACCTGCTCAAAACACGTCGCATATGCCGAATTCTCGTTTGAAAAGTAAAACATTATCAAAACAATTAAATTACGATTTACAGAACATTCATGTCCTTCGGTACGGTAGTTTTTGCGTACGGTGGTCACGGAGCTTTTCCTACCATCCAACACGACATGCGGGAGCCGTACAAGTTTGGAAAATCTTGCACTGCGGCTTTCATTTGTAAGGAAGGTGGCTAATATTTTCACGAATTTTTTAGTGGTATGCATCATGTACTTGCCGGTGTCGTTGACGGGGTACTTTACGTATGGTGGAGCACTTTTGGATACGATCATCCCTTCACTGCAAGTAAGATCTTTTGAATTTGGAGAGAAATCATAAAAAATATGCTTATTATGTTTCAAAAATTCATGAACAATTTAGAACTCAAATCTTCAAATTGCGGTGAACTGTTTGATCACGCTGCACGTCATCTTAGCGCTGACGATCATGTTTAACCCGATGAATCAGTCGTTTGAAGAATTGTTAGGAGTACCACATGGTAGGTTTTGAAAGGTAAAACGATACTACGAAGGACCGGAAGTAAAAAATATTTCAAATAACATTCAACGTTCTTCAGATTTTGGCTGGCAACGCGTAGCTGCTCGTACCGTCACTATGGCGGCAGTCGTCTTCGTAGCCGAATCTATCCCAAATTTTGGCCCGCTGCTTGACCTTGTTGGAGGTGAGCTTCCAGGCCTTAGAATTGCTTAAGTTACGAAACCTTTTCCGTTAATATACCTTTTGTTAAGGCTCCACCATCACCCTAATGGCCCTAATCTTCCCGTGCATTTTCAACCTATACCTCAACACTAGCAAGGCGAAGTACGGGGATGAGGCTACGAAGGACGAGGAGCGGGTCACGATCTCTGAGTACGTTACTGAACTCCAGACGAATAAAGTTCTATTTTTAGTATTCTTCAATATACCCCGAAGCGAAAGTTGGTCATCAACATCTTGGTGTTGAGTGAGTTTTTGGTTTTAAAGAGCTTTTGGGGTGCGGTAGAAGCTGATAAGGCCTTCCCAGGCTTTGAAAACTACCGTGGACTAGACATGAGCAGGTTTAATCCTCGTTTTAGCAATGGCCCTTGTTGGCGGAATGGCAGCTACATTCTCTGCCATCGACATCTTGGTTACGGTCGATTTCCACCCGCCCTGCTACAGCAGCTGGTTCACCGGCCAACAGCACTTGGGTCCCGCCGCGCATATTGAGTAAGTTGGATCGGAATTCTATGCCGTAGTCAATCAAGATACAGGTTTTAATCTAGGAAAGCTAGCAAAGATTGTTTAGGAAATTTATTTACTTCGAGTACCTCATCATTTGGTCATGTGTGGATCTTAATAGTATTTTCCAAAAGTAAGCTAGCAAAGATTATTTGAGAATCTTCTTGCCGTACTGTGTAATAGCTTATATCTCGTAATCTTTGCAATTTTCGCAATGAGAATACCGTAGACTTCAGTTGATTTATACACTTTTGAAGATAGGCAAGCTAGCAACGATCATTTAGGACAATTTCTAGCTTTTGGCAGCACCGTAATAAGGTACTTTTTCAGTAACCACGGCAAAATCGCGTGCTGCGGAGCGTTCCGGAATATCTCGCGGTTTGGCGCGGAACAATGTCTACAATTCGGGCAGTACGTCGGAGGAGCTCACGGCTAATTTGCGCTTTATATTCAGTACACCCTAGTCTTGCTGTAGTCAATCTCAGATCTCATTCTCCTGTTATCCTTATCCTTTATTCACAATTTGAAGACAGGTCCGTGTTTCCCAGCCATCAATAATTTGTTCTGGTGTGCCGTTACGGTATTTGCTGATTTCTTGATTTTTTATTTGTGTGCGGTTTTTGTACAGTGCCGGTGAAGAATAATGAATATATTGAATGTTTATGATGGAATAAAGTTTATTAATTTTTTACAGACTATTGAAATCAGCAGTCAATTGGGGCCGGGTCTGCCGGAAATCCCCTATCGCTTTCCGGCGGCATATGGAATGGGACCGGTACTCTCGAGGGGTCAACCTTGAATCGAATGCTGCCAAAGTCAACACTGAAATTTTTAATTAAAATAATTTATTTTTGTGAAGAGTTTTCGGCATTTTCTTGGAATGTTTCCAGCTTCCTTCTAAAAGCGAAGACAGCGAAAAAGAAAGAAATCCGCCTTTAACCTTCCCGGGTATCAGTTTCCTTAACCGATCCCCAATTTTATAAACTATCAATGCGGAAAACCCCTAAAATAAACGTATTCGGAAAAGGGCACTGAGAATTTGGCACATTTTCGTGTTTAGATGACCTTCGTACTTTTCAGACGGGAAGAAGGTATAAATGGTAGAATAGAATAGAAGAGAATGGCTTCGGATCAGCGTTTCTACCACTGAAACCCTATTTCTCCTTTAAGCTATCTTTAATGCGTCATCCTTACCTGTACTGATAGCAGAAAATCGATAGATAATCCACATCGTAAACCGTCTGATTCCCACCCAACCGAATTTCCACCTGCCGATTCGCCAGATCCTCGTGAATTTTGCAGTGCCTATGAGAATGTACGTGTTTTTGTGCGTTTTGTAGCATAACCGGGAGTTTTCAACGGTTTTCCAGTATCCAAGCCCATTATTTTGAGCCACGCCCGGAACAGAACCGAGCCGGCCGGGCTATCAATTTCCAAATATTTACTTCCAGTTCGTGTCCCTTCCAACGATCAGCGCTTTCTGGCCGGTATTCTGGTTGATTTCGCCCTGGCCGAGGTAGATCCAGGCGTCTAAAAATACGGCAAATTTTTTATAGCAGGTAAATAATTTTTTTTTGTAAATATTTAATTTATAAAACACCAGCTTCATCTAAAATACGACGTTAAAGACAAGTTAGAACCCGTTTATTTTGATCCAAGCGATGAGAGCTATTTTTATGAGAGTTCAAAAATACTTTAACATTTTTAACCTGGTTGGCGCTTTGGCGTTTGCGGGGGGTCGATCACGCGGAAACGAAATTGTTTTTGGGCCATTTTTTCAATTTAAACGAGGAAAATGTTTCTAAACTGTTTCATATAAATTTTAAATTCAAAAACTTTACAATTTGTAATTAAAAAAATGCAAGTATTAATTTTTCTATATTTTCAATCTAATTTTTTGAACTTTTTGAGAGCTTTTCCAATTGAAATATAGTTCCATTTTAACCAAGATTGTGCCAAATGACCCAAAGGTAAGCTTAGGAATTTCTGGAACTATACAAAAGTAATATCAATTAAATATACTGAAATTTAAGTCCAAAGCACCTGAAAAACACTAAATTTCACACCTGGTGGCTTCGTCCCCTGAATTGAGAAATTGTTCAACCGTAACGTTTTGTGATCCAAAATCTCGATCGGACCGCTCGAAGCACCGTATTCCCCATTTTCAATTGACTAAAACACATAAAATTCATTATAACTCCAGCTTACCAATTCCCCATCTCCCTTCTTCAGGCAGCAAAACGCCGACGGGGCCCATTTGTCGATATTTAGTGATGCGAGGGATTTCTGTAATGTTTTGGGTTGTTTTTAGTAGTGCTCCGGCCTGGCGTAGGCGTACTTTGTAGCCGCCCCCCTGCCGAGTGTGACCCGACTGGCCTTTTGTCGGCTGATCGGGGCGCTCTTGGCTGGGCAAATACCCGGCGTAACTGGTTTGTTTTTCTCGGATTTTTTGAATGGAATAAGGGACCAAGAATCATATTGTGTTTCTAGAAAATCAATACCCCGGTTTTGTTATTGGTTAACCGTCAAAATAGACGGTTTTTTTAAGCACTATATCGTAGTCCTTGTGGTTTCTAAGTAAAGTTCGATTTTGCCATCTAAATGCCTTCGGTTTGTTTTTAATTGCTATTAATACTATTTTATAAAGCTTTAATTGATAAAAACTGATTGTTTTTACAGACAAAATGACATTTATACCATTTTCTGGGGCTCTTAAGCCCGATCATATTTGAAAATCCGGTGGAAAATGAGCTTTTTTGGCATTTCCCCCAAATTTCCGATTCTCCTTCTCGTGTTTTTGTTGTTTTTGATTTTGCGACTCTCGAGAAATCGATACCTTTTCGGTTAAAATTCTATGAAGCTGTTTTCCTTTCCCGACTATTCCGCCCGATGGCTGTTTACCTGACACCGGCTTGGATGTTTTTCCTAGTCGCGATTTTTGCCGGGGGCATTCGGGTGAAAGCATATGACATTATTTGACGCATTTTGAAAACTTTTATTCGCGAAAATTATTGATTTATTATGTATTGTATTTTAAAAAAAAATGGACTGCAGCTATTTTTGAGCGCCCAGAAATAGCACTTTCGGCTCGGCTTTTTATCCCGGGTCGCAGAGCATTTGGCCCACAGGATACTTTAGCCATTTGGAAACGTTACACTAGCTCTGTTACATCGAAAAATTTTGATTTACCTTGCTTTAATTGCCGTATTCTAAAAAAAATTAAGTGCAGGCATTTTTTGAGCGCACAAAAATAGCCCCTCACGCCCGGAAAAACAACTATTTTTATCACCCACCTTCGGTCCTACTCCCTTAATTTGATGGCCAACTAATTCCGGGCCCTCCCCGCCCTCGCTCCATCATTTCGAATGTTTTTCCCAACCAACCCCCGTCCAGACGAACCCTCATTCCGAATTTAGACTGGCCGCCCGGGGGCTCATCGTCTTATGAGGGTGTTGTTATGCCTTGCCCTACTCATCCCGTTATTCGATGGGAAACACATTGGGCTGCACGGGCTTGAGACCGGGGAACACCGGGGATTTGTGGTGGGTTTTTGAGGTTACAACCCTTTTTCATATAAAAATTTGATTGAATACTGTGATGCTAGCTAGCGAATCAAAGCGTTTTACGTACACGACATTCGAAAAAGTCGCCGTAGGTTCTTGTTCGCTAGCGGGGGGACGTCCTACCATTAGTGCGTCGGGCTTGGCAAATTTTTCTAGAAGCAAGCCTGTAGATGGCTGGATTTTAAAGGTGCCATCTCTTACTTAGATTTTCTATCACCGATTTTAGGGCCAAGAAGTAATCAACGCACCTTGGAATATCTCCTGCAAAATCCCGATCTGCGAGGGTCCACTCCAAAATATTTACTGTACTGGCAATATCGTGCAATATGCATGGAGATTTGGGGTATACGACACTTGCCCCGGTCCGATCCTTCGATTCGAGCCGGATATTGTGTTGGCGAATTTTGAGAGGTAAATTAGGAGCCATAAACATTGTCAAAAATTGCTAAAGCTCAATTTTTGCGCGAATTCCATACCTTAATTAATTCCTAATTTCAGCCTCCAGCTCCCCATCGAGAAGGAAACGTTTGTAAAATTTTGCGAGGACAATTTCGAGCGGAGAAGCTATCTGGAGCTGACCAGACTGCATGATTTTGTGGAAAATGCAACTTTTTTGGAGAAGATCAAAGATCCGGCGATCAGGTAATATTTCTAAAACAAGAAAAATACCGTATATTCAGGAAATTTGCATTTGAGGTTAATAAAAGGTGGTCAACGTTGGCACGTCGCTTTGTGCCAGAGGTTGGTGGAAATTAAGGACTACAAAAAACGAATTTTAGATGCGAAATATGACGAGTCGATTGCCGGTTTTAACTGTACCAAATCCATTCATCGTACCTGGCGGATTCTTTCAAGTCTATTTCTATTGGGACTCGTATTGGATTATGAAAGGTAAAAAATCAGGCTAGTGGTTGGAGTCCAGGACTTTTAGGGCTTTTGGTTTCAAACATGACCGAGACGGCCAAGGGGATACTTGAGAATTTTGCGTATGTCCTGAAGACGCATGGGTTTTTGCCAAATTCGGGAAATATTCAGTAAGTTTAGGCTCAAGGGAGTAGCGTTTTAAATGGATATCAGCTTGTCCTCTGTCTCTCTCTCACTCTCTCTCTCTCTCGCTCTCTCTCCCTATCGTTTCCTTTCTCTAGCCTTTGATATCTTTGTTACCAACCCATAAATTCAAATTTTAGATTATCGCGACGAACCCAGCCCCCGCTTTTCGTCCAAATGCTAGATGACTATTTCACCGCTACCAAAGACAAAGATTTTCTACGCCTCATGATGCCGCTAGTCGAAATTGAAATGGATTTCTGGATGCGGAATCGAACTATTCAGGTTTTGGACAGTAATGGCAAGAATAGGACGATGTATTTGTACAGGGTAAGCAAAAAAACTCTCTCAGGAGTTGAAAAACACAATTACAGTCAATCACGACGTGTCCGCGCCCGGAAAACTACCTAGTTGATGTGGATAATGGTATTAATGGAAGTTATGACCCGGAAGAGGTATGATATGCTACGATACGAACCGTCCTTATTTAATATACTTTAGATCTGGAGCAGTGTCGCTTCGGCTTGTGAGAGCGGATGGGATTTCTCGTCCCGATGGTTTGATCACACGGGAAAACAAGCTTGTAAGTTAACATTAAAACAGATAAAGAATTTAACTTACCTATACCCTTCGCGGCATTAACTTCTTTCTAGTTTAAAAACATTTTTAGTCACAAAGTACACGATCCGCACCAACACCATCCTCCCCGTTGATGTCAATGCATTTATGACGTGGAATTTCCGGGCTGTAGCCGGTTTTTACAAAATTTTAGGTGATGAAAAGTGAGTTTTTTAATTTTAGAGCTAATTCATTGTTTTTTATAGGAGTAGCAATCGCTACCAGCTAAAGTACAAAGAGATGGCCGAGAATTTGGCGTTGTTATGGAACGAGGAGGCTGGGGTCTGGCAGGACTACGATATGGCTCAAAAGGCTCATCGCAACGATTTCTACCCCAGCAATGTGTATCCGTTATTAGCTATGGTAATTTTAGGAGTCTATACTAAATGAAAATATATGTTAAATTGTTCTTAACCACCACTTAGAAAATGCATGAACAAGAAGAATATGAGGTTTTTGAGCATAGTGTGTAAAATTTAACGTAAAATTTGTGTTTTTAAATGTTTGGATTTCAAATAAGCTACGCAAAACTACACCTTACAATATTATACTGACGAAAATACGATGAAAAATCTTCATTAACTATAGGCTACAATTTCAGGAAGTCGACAAATCGAAAACCGACAAAATCCGTGAGTACCTACAAGCCACAAGGGTCTTGGAGTATCCAGGTATCCATCTAGACATTTCATATCGTAATCCACGGATTCTAGGGGGTATCCCAAGCACCCTCAAGGTCCTCTCCACGCAACAATGGGATTTCCCGAATGTCTGGGCCCCTAATGTCCATCTTTTCGTGGAGGCGTTAATGAGAACCGGTAATTTTAGCCAAGTTTTTGATGTCTTTCTGGCTTTAGAGGACCCATATCTACGAGAACAGGCGGTAGATGCAGCCAGGAGATTCGTGGTAACCGTTAAAAACGGGTTAATGAACCCTAAAGCCAACGTGACGGCGACGATATGGGAAAAGTACGATGCAAGATTTTCGGATGGGAGCCGAGGAGATGGAGGAGAATATTATGTACAGGTTGGTGTTTTAAAGGAGTGGTGAAGTGAAAAAAAACAGGCGTAGAGATTTTCAAAAGGGTCAGCTAGCGGAGATCATTTGGGAAATCGATTCAGATCATTTTTGGTGCATCTTTAATTCAAGTTTGCTTTTTTTCGGTTTCATGGATCCATGGCATTAAAAATAGTTTGTTATATGAAAAAAACTATATACTAAAAATCTGTCCTTACAGTACGATAGGAAACTCAAAACTGAATGGAACCTAAAAACAGCATGTAAAGATTATTGGAAAAGAGGTTAAAGTGCCGAACTTTCGTTGGCATGCTCCAAGGCATTCAAAAATGGCTTTTACATACAAAAACGTGTCTATATTAAAATTCTGGCTCAGTATTATGATAGGAAACTAATCCCAACTTGAAAAAGTCCTAGAATCCTTAAAAACCACAAAAACCCCTTGCAACTCGTTTTAGGAGGGCTTCGGCTGGACAAATGGAGCCGTTCTCGATTTCATCAACAAATATTTTATGAATTCCACGATCAGCAATGGCAAATGGACACACCGTAAGTTAACGCACAACACCTAATGACGATCTTTTCGAACAGATCCCATCAAGAAACACAAGCATGCGGTTGGTAGCCCGATTCCCCAGATTTAGAAATTAAGCTTATTTTGCCCCACCATTTTTTTCCCTTTTCTGGTATTCCTTTAGCCATTTAGCCGAGTTTTTTTGGGTGCTGTGGGTACGGTAGAAAAGTAGAAATAATTTTTTTAGAAAAACCCTACTCGCAAGTCCTTACGGAGGACGAATTGAACGAGATCTTTGGAAATGGCGTCCATACGGTTGTTATTGTGGGCTTGATGGCGGTTTTGATGGTGCTGATACTTTGGTAAGTAATTTTATCGAATAAGCTTACTATTTAATTCTTGTTCAAAATATAAATGCAAATTAAATAATTTTTATAAAACCTACAGGATAAACAAATTTAGTTATAATTAAATCTTTTATTTAGGTTCCTAATCTTCGGTCTAACTTCTTCAAAAATCTGTTCCCTACGAAATCTACTCTATCATAACGAAGAGGCAACGCAACGATTATTGGGTTCTGATGATTCTAGCTAATTTTTTTTTCGCATTTGTGGATTTCTAATTTGCCATTCGCCCGGGTAACATTCCGCATGTGTGATTCGTTGCCTTCCTTACGCCCAGACAGGTCTCCAGATTCGGTTCACGTTGTACGCTACTGTGATATGTATATGCCTCAAGTTTTTCTTGACCATATCTCTGTCAGGTTGATAAATTCGGAAAATAAAGTAAAATTTGATGTCTTATAGGTGAAAAGGAAAGCCGACACTCTCTCTCTCTATCTCTCTCTCTCTCTCTCTCTCTCTCTCTCTCTCTCGTTCTTTTGAATGTCCTCGAACTCACATTTGACTCCTTATCGGCAATCCCAAATTTCTTCCAGCTGTTCACCTTCTTCGGCGCTACCACGAAATGTTGACCTCCTTGAAGATTCCCGGCAAATGTACTGCTCCTAGATGATGGCGGTCCAGATTTTTTTCACTACTTTAGTGCCACCACCACTGCTTACCACGTCGAAAAATAGTCACCGCCAGGGCTTTGGCATATCGTACCGGCGCGTGGGGCAGGTACCTTCTTGCCCTCGTCGTCTTCAAAATAGAAGAATACACCACGAGTCACCAAGGAGAGTCCGTTGCGCTCTTCACCTGAAATACTACTGGAATATGCATTCTTGAGAGAAAGAGAGAGAGAGAGAGAGAGAGAGAGAGAGAGAGAGAGAGAGCGAGAGAGAGCGAGAGAGAGCGAGAGAGTGTGAGAGAGAGCGAGGGAGAGGGAGGGAGAGAGGGAGAGGGAGAGAGCAAAGTTATAACCTGTCTCTATCTTAAATCCCGGTAATTGTAGCATCGTTGAATTCGCGATGAACACATCAACGTCAAGCCGAAGGTCGGCATTCTCAAGCTTGCCAAGAGGCACTCCAAAATATTCGGCGTTTACTGAAAATATTAACGATCGAAAATTACTCTAAACTCGATAAACATGAATTGATAAATTACCTATCCTCAAAATGGGGGCCAGCAACAAAATGTACATTTTTCAAGCAAAAGCCAGCCCTGGAGACCAAATCATTTATATCACATGCCCCCACACAAACCGGAACCATTTTTTGCCAAACAAGCTCATGTGGGTCAGATTTCGGCGGTGATATCGGAGCCGTTCACCCAGATAAATAGTGGAAAAATGCTGGTCGAGTTACAGACAAACCGTGGATTTTTTGACTAAACCTCCAAATCGAAGGTCGTTGGGCAGTCTAGCAGAGGTTTTTTAGGGAATACAGGAGAGAAGAAGTATGAGGAAACGGGCGAAAAGAAAAAGAGGGCGAGCTGCTCGGGGAAAAGCCTCCACTATTTGCATAATTTATCAGGGGACCGGTGCGCCTGGTTGGCGAATGGAACATTTTTGCCCAAACAGTTCAATTTTTAGGAACAGATTTTGAGCAATTTGACGATTCTCTCGACACGAATTTAGCTTTCTGAAATGAAAAGGAGTGATGGGGAGGCAGTGCGATGTTTTTCTATTTTAAAAAGCAATTCCGGTTAGCCAAACAACTACCTGAAAAGAGAAACGAAATGGAAAAACGTCGCCAGAGATCGTGAATTTATCGATTTACGCATTACGATAACTAATTTTTTGCGTTATTTTAATTGCAAACGTTTTTTGCCATCTTTTAGATCCAAAATTACTAGTCACCGTCATATCTTAATTTTTAAGACTCAATCTTTTCCATTTCCGGCCATCGAGCCATATTTTTCAAGGTCAAGCAGGTGTATGTGGTTGCGAAAAACGGCATTTTTCCTAAAAAATGTCGCGCCGAGAAATGTCGTCTTTTTTGCGGTGTGGCAAGGTGTCCTTGAAATGTCCGCCGGAAAATGATGTGCCCCACGTAAATCGAGCGAAATTTGCTAGCGCTGGTCAGCGCGTTCTCTTGCATATGTATTTTCACCACCCAGCCAGCTGTGTTAGTCACAGCTTCTGTCCACATTGCATAATGGGGGCCTATTCGTAGCAGGGTGTGAATCAGCCTTTGAAAGTGGCTAAAATTCTCTCTTTAAATTGTTCGCATTTTTAGATTTTTGTTGTATTTTGTAGCTTGTGTTTTTACTGAATTCCAGTCATTTTTCCTAAAAATCATTTTTCCTAAAAGTCATTTTTCCAAAAAATCATTTTCCCAAAGTTCCATTTCCCCTAAAGCCGGTTAAAAACCAAAAAGCCTAGTTCTTTAGTACTATGCATGAGAAAATAAAAATAAAAAATTATTTTGTAGAATAGGGTGGGATAACTTGTAAAGTTGTGTGTTTGGGCCTAGATTTGGGGGCCTGGGAAGAAAAAAGAAAAAAAAAAAAAAAAAAAAATTGATAAAAAAAAGCCAAAAACAAAACAAACCAAACAAAAAAAAAAAAAAAGAAACGTCGATTTCTTGATATTTTTCTACGAATAAAATTAAATTAAAAATAATAAAAAAAAAAAATTGAAAAAATATTTAGAAAAAATAACCTTTTTTTACTTTATAATGTGTTTGGGACCATCTCCATTTTGCCATTTTCCTATCCCCAAATTCGGAGTAAAAAGCAAGAAAACGTATGGTTCTTTGGCCAGACACCTTTTTGCGTTTCTTCGCGTGTTATGCTCTGTTTTGCTCGTGCTTTCTGAATCATCGACCTTTGTTCAAGATCTTTGTGTCGATTTCCATATTCCGCCGGCCGTTTTCTGTGCTCAACTTCAACTTGGGCTTTGTTAAAGACCGTCAGAACTCTGGCGGGGGCGGCGCTTATCTTGAACAGACGTAACAGAGAAGGGGAAGGCGCGGCCGGGCCGTCTCTTCCTGGCCCCGGGGCGCAATAACCCTCCCAAAGGGGCGCACTTTGGCAACGCGCGGTTCCATTTGCGTTTGGTTCGGTGTCTTGGTTTGCCACCCTCGGGGTGACAGTGCGCGTTCTATCGTTCTGACGGTCTTTAATATCCAATTTTTTAGTTTTCCAGGTAAAATGGAAGAAAAACCAGCGCCGGAAGACATTTTACGAAAAGGAGCTCTGGAAGATAAGCCGCTACTGCCGAGAAAATCAGAGATTTTTGAGATTCCTAAGGTATGTTTTCCCAGAGTTTATAAAACTGTAAAAAGCACCCCGGTAGTGCTATATTTAGGATCAGGGCCGAAAGATACCCTACCTTCGCTTCTTAATCCTGTGCCTTGGTGTTTGCTCAGCTGCGGCTCCCGTATCCTGTTATTTTGCATTTACATTCGCTGTGGCTTGTAATAATCCGCCTGGGTTGAACCGTAGTGGACTGTACAACAGGTCAGTCAAAATATCTCTTTCTCGCTCTCTCTCTCTATCTCTCTCGCTCTCTCAGTATCTATCTACCTCTCTCTTTCTCCCGCCCTCTCTTACCTTAACTCTCTCACTCTCTTTCTCCCTCTCTCTCGCTCTCTCGCTCTCTCTCGATCCCTCCATCTCTCTCTCTTTCTCTCTCTCTCTCTCTCTCTCGCTCTCTCTTTCTCTCGTTTTCTCTCCTCAACTATTAAACCAAGACCCATCTTTCAGTAATCCAGAAAAATCCCCAATAATCTACTATGATGGTGTCCAAGAATCGATCGCTTTTTCCGCATATTCTATCGGAAATTTAATGATGCTGCCGGTGCTACCATTCATCAAATTTGCGGATGTAAGGTAGGCCCGATCTCCAGACCCCTAAACACTTAAAAATTTTTGAGGACTCAAGTTTTTATCGGTGTTTTGCTCTCCGGATTACTTACTGTAGCTTTTCCACTACTTTTTGACAATTATCCAAGGTTATCACTGATCTCAAGGTAAGCTTTAATAAGGGTTTTATTTTGGCGTTCTGAAACACGTTTAACAAACGATTTTTCCATAGATTTCTTCACGGAGCTGCTGGCGCTCCAACGATTCCCCCTCCTAGGCCATCTATGTGCTCACTGGGCCCCGAAAAAGGAGATCGGGCTCTTTGTCGGGGCTATTACATGCTATTCTCAGGTAGGAAGACACTTTTAAGGGTATCTATTAACTCTCACAGTTTGCAATATTCTTTACAATGACCGTCAGCGGTGTCACTTGCGAGTACGGGGGCTGGAGGCCGATATTTTACCTTCATGGCGGTATCACTATAGGATTGGCAATGCTTTGGTGGGTCGATTAGAGGTATCGATTACGCTATGTAAACTTTAGGATCGTATTTTTCCACGATTTTCCTCATAAGCATCCGCATCTCGCGAACAAGGAGTATATGCTAATTCATACCGGTCAGCGAGAGGTTCACGCCGTGCCGGATGTACCGAAAAAGTAAGGTTTATATAAGAACAAGCTCCTAATTGTCGTTTTGGCGGAATAATCTATGTTTTTATGAGCATTAGGTAACTATAGTGTTTGTAAAATGACGACATCTCCTGCTCCTAAAATTTTCTATTTACAGAAAACTCCTCGCTCATCGAGGTATCGTTGCCGTCATTATCGCCGCCATCGGGAATTATAATGGCATCAGCCCCCTGATCGTCTACTGCTCACTTTTGATGAGGGTAAATTCTCAAACCTATAGGATTATAAAATATAGTTTATACAAAAATCAGCAATTTTTCTGATTTTAGAAGGGCCTTGGGAGCTCTGAAATCGAAATATCTTCCTATGTTGCCACCTGCTTTGCCGTGCAGGCATTTTTCAAAATCACGAGCGGTAATATAGCATCGCGTTTCCTTAGAAATTGACCGATTTAGGCATCGTCAGCGACAAGTTAAAAGTGTTTTCCGAAAAAAATAGACTTCGACTGTTCAATTCCCTATCTTGTGGGTTATCTGGTGTCCTTATGATTGGCACAGCAATGCTGGACCCTAAAGAAAAGGTATTTTCAGTAAAAATCGTTTAAATATTATTTTGTAGATTCTTTGTTCGATTATGTTGACGTTGACCCAATCGATAATTGGCTTCAACTCGGCTGGCTTCAATCGGGCAGCAATTATTGTTTCCGGGTATGTTTTGCCTAAAAATCGTAGTGTATTTTTAGAAAATACGCTTCTTTCATCATGACAATAATTGGGGTGATTATTGCGTTGTCTACCATTATTGAGCCGTTCGTAGTAGCAGCCGTAGCGCCGGAACATACGTGGAGTCAATGGTAGGTATTTGAAGCCTAAGCTAAGCCTAAGCTGCAAGCCTAAGCTAAGCCTAAGCTAAGCCTAAGCTAAGCCTAAGCTAAGCCTAAGCTAAGCCTAAGCTAAGCCTAAGCTAAGCCTAAGCTAAGCCTAAGCTAAGCCTAAGCTAAGCCTAAGCTAAGCCTAAGCTAAGCCTAAGCTAAGCCTAAGCTAAGCCTAAGCTAAGCCTAAGCCAAGACATAGCTAAGCCTAAGCTAAGCGAAGCAAGCAAATCGGAAGTTTAGGTTCCCACTGCTCGTCGTTCATGGCGCAATCCTGGTGATCTCAAATTTCCTGTTTTGCCTATTAACCGATGGAAAGCCGTTTCACGAAGAATAATAGCTTCTTTCATGGTTTCTCAGGGATTAGGAAACTGAAAATAAATTTTATCTGCCGTGTACGCAACGCTACAATCGACAAAAACGGACAAAAAATCTGACGATAGAAAATTACAGCAAAGCTCACTTTCGCTCGAAATTTGCACACCGATTCTGGTATCGCCATAAAATCAACCATTTTGAAGGCCGGTCCACTGCCTAATATTGGTCTATAATGTCAATTTTCTTGCACAAACAAAATAAAGTGGTGGTGACGAATTGGCTTACGCCATAATTTTGATCCGAGTGCCCCTCCCAGTCCCCGAAATCGCCAGTTTCACCCTGGGATCTGGCGGGATACCCCATTTTTTGCTTCAAACCTTTTTGGCTATGGTATATTTCGGTTTCTCGGCTAGGAAAATTGTCAAAACTACTGTAAAGCAGTGAAATTTGTACATGCGATGGCCAGTTTTTCACAACTGAAGGCTTCTTGCTCCCCGCCCCTGCTGGACCCAGCCGCCCCCGCTTTTTGTGATAACGCCTCGGTTTGAGGAAGCAAGAAGGTTCTCTTATCGATCCTGATTTCTAAAGGATAGAAATCACTTAAATTCCCTATTTACATCTTTGGACCTATTTACCTTGGAACTTGCTGAAAATCGTTTTAAATCCGCTAACTATCCGAAAGAGACTGAGAAAATTGTATTGTTTTTGTCGTGTTCCTACCGTTTTCATACCTTAATAATCTCGTTGAACTGTTATGCTTCAAACTTGCTCAAAATAATATTAAATCATCAAAAGGGCAGAGAAAATTGCATGTTTCTGATGATGTTCTTGAAATGGCACGTTGTTTTTGTGTGCTAAAGGTTTTCATACCTTTATAATCTCGCTATGCAAAATATCATACTTTTATTTGTTGTATATCGTACTTTTCTTACGATTTACCTTTCAGAATGACGGGTCTAAATAAAGCTCTCACGAAAAAGCCGCTACCCGACCAGGCGCCGAGGCTAATCGACGATGCCCCATATCCAGTGTCAGAACCATTTTTTAGATTTCGTAAACCTTTTATTTTCAGAAATTACGCTGAAAACAAGACGTCAACCCTAAAACCCTACATCTTTATCGCATTTGCCACTACGATATTCTTTTTTTGCTTTGTCGCACCGGTAAGAGATACAAATCCTTTCGATACCAATATTTTAGGCCTATTTCCCTTCGATTTTCAAGCAAATCGGGTTTGGTAGCTATGAAAAACACGCCGCAAATGAGAACGAGCGCTACGATACTGCTTTCTTCGAGTTTATGAAAGAGTAAGCGATTTTTATTCACGGAAATTCCCCGGTACCTCAGATTTGACCGTCACTACAAAAACCGAGCCGAATTCAACTATCGGCATCGGATTTTTATGCAAAATATGAAAGAGTGGGAAGCAGAAGAGGCGGAGGATTTGAAAAATGGCGGGAATTTGGGTAGGTCGTGGTCTTAAAGCTTAATTCAAATTTTTTCTAGACCTTGACATCAACCAATTTGCCGATTATACGAAAGAGGAGATGGCAAAGGTATCGAAAGAATTAATTGGGCCAAAATAAATGATTTTAGATGCTAATGTCGGGTGATTTTGGACCTCCAGTGGTCGAGGGTGCCGCTCCAATTGAGATGGGTCGGTATTTGTCGAAGGACTACCAGCGCCCCGCGTCGAAGGATTGGGTCCAAGAGGGGAAAGTGACGGCCGTTAAAAATCAAGGTAAGTACGCGGTGATACGATTATGACATGAAATTACAATCGATTACGTAAGCTACTATACTCAGTTTTTCGAATCGTTAGCATAATGTCGAAATTTCATATTGTCGAAATCCATAGTTTCCAAATTTCATAATGTCGAAATTCAGAAAGAAAGAAAGAATTCAGAAATTCCGAAATTTTTTTTGCATATAATTCGGGTTTTTCCGGGAAAATTAGCTTACGCAAATTTCGACATTCTGGATTTCGACATTATGAATTTCAACGTTTTGAAAAAAACCGTGTTTTCAGGTCAATGCGGAAGTTGCTGGAGTTTTGCCACGGTGGCGACGGTCGAGTCGGCGGTGGCGATTAAGAGGAATAATTTGGTGAGTTTTTTGGTTCTTTTGGCATGTCTATTAATGCTTATTGGCAGCAAAAACACAAAAACAACTTACTGACGTTCCGAAATTTAGGACACTCTCTCGGAGCAGGAACTCGTCGATTGTGAGCACGACCAGGGAGGCTGTAATGGAGGATATCGGCCTTATGCTTACCGGTAAGAGATTCGGTACTTTAGGCCACACTTACAAGGAGTGCTTTTTTTGAGTCATCTGCAAAACCTTACGAGACCTAGCTCATTCGATAGAGAATTCGATTCTGAACAAAACCCCGTTGTTCTTTTTTTGCAGAATGGCTATCTATGATTTTATAAAATTTTAAAACTGCACCCAAAAGCCTCCCTTTTGGCTCGAAAGGCACTCATGGTAAGAGACGGTCACTAGTATTTTAATTTTATAAAATCAGGGATAGCCATTCTGCAAAAAAGAACAACGGGGTTTTGTTCAGAATCGAATTCTCTATCGAATGAGCTAGGTCTCGTAAGGTTTTGCCGATGACTCAAAAAAGCACTCCTTGTTAGAATACCATCAGACCGCCGTTTTACATACTTTTAAAATTATTTTCCAGGTGGATCAAGGAAAATGGTCTGGTTCAAGAATCCGGATACCCGTACGTCGCTCAGGTTTCCGGACAATGCCGATTAGATCGATTTGACGTTAAGGTATACTCACAGTTACGGTAGCGCAGGCACTTTTTAGACAAGAGTCTACATCGACGACTATCAGATGTTGAGCAAAGACGAGGGCTTGGTGGCCGATTGGGTGGCGGCTAACGGGCCGGTGTCGTTTGGTAGGTGAAATTGCATACATAAGTTATGTAAAATAATTGATTTAAAAAGCACAATAATATCAAAACCTTCTTGTTAAGGCATGAAAGTGACCAAGGACCTTTTCCACTATAAATCCGGCGTCTTCCGGCCCAATCCGGACGCTTGTGCCCATGAATCTCAGGGCTCCCATGCATTGACGATTGTGGGATACGGTAGGCGGTCCAGATTTTGGTTTTCTTACCAGATTTTTAAGGGGAATTGGATCGAAACTTGAGAAAACTAACCTCGTGAATTTTCGGTTTAGAAAAAATGTTTTAGGCTCCGAGAATGGCCAGGATTACTGGCTGGTCAAGAATTCCTGGGGCAACTGGGGCCTCGGCGGATATTTCAAGCTAGCGAGAGGTATCGTTTTCCTGCTTTTCAAAAATTATCATTACGTAAAGGTATCAACGCCTGTGGAATGGCCGAAACGATCGTTGCCCCGGTCGTGAGACAATAACTCAATTTTCCCGAATTTCCATATTTTTATCATTCTTTACAAAACTTTTCCTGTCTCATATGTCTTGTTTTGCTCCCCCCCCCCCCAGCTGATGCTCACTTGGTGCCCGGACTAACGTTTATTATGCAACGATATTTGTTATTACTCAAAAGCTGGCATCATGCTACGGAATTCCGAATAAAATTATGACTAGAAAACAGGCAGATTCATTTTTACAAAGAGATTTTCGGCAGTTGGGAATGGCGAAACGGAAGGAAAGCCAAAAAATTCAAATAAAAAATAATCTATTCCGTCTCGAAGCCGTCGCCAATGTCCTCGTCGGCGGTGGCTTCCTAAAAATGGTATTTTGGTCATGATATTCTAACTTTTTACGTATAGGAGCCTCAACCGTGGGTTTTTAGAACGTAGCTTGAAATTTTCAAACATACCTGATACTGCTGATACTCCGAGATCAAATCATTCATGTTCGACTCGGCCTCGGTGAACTCCATCTCGTCCATCCCCTCGCCGGTGTACCAGTGGAGGAAGGCCTTGCGGCGGAACATCGCTGAAACGGAATGTTTTTTGATGGCTAACCAGCAGAGATTTTTGGGAATCCAAAACTCGACAGGAAAAACAGTTTTTTGAACCGCAAAACGAACCTGTGAACTGCTCGCCGACGCGCTTGAACAATTCCTGAATTGCTGTGGAGTTGCCGATGAAGGTTCCGGCCATTTTTAGGCCTCGTGGTGGGATGTCGCAAACCTGCAAAAAACGTCATAGTTTTTGCGCATAAACTACCGCGGTCTTGACGTTATTCGGGATCCAATCCACAAAATACGACGAATTCTTGTTCTGCACGTTCTGCATTTGTTCGTCGACTTCCTGGGTGAATACGGTAGATGAGCTATTATTTACAGGATACCTTCATGCTCATGATTCCGCGGAAGATAACGGCAGCCGTCAAATATCTGCCGTGTCGCGGGTCACATGCCGCCATCATGTTTTTCGCGTCAAACATTTGCTGGGTGAGGTCTTGGACCTAGAAATTGAATACGCAATAATGTATCTTTTTCAACGTACTGTCATCGCTCGATATACCGCACTTCCACGAGCCGTCAACGGCGCAAATCCGGGCATGAAGAAGTGAAGCCGGGGGAAGGGAACCATATTCACGGCCAGCTTGCGTAGATCAGCGTTTAGCTGAATGTATAACTTCGGTAACTCCTTGATCCAACCCAAAAACCTGGCCAGGGAACCGCAGACAAGTCGTCACGCCGCTCATCGTAGCCGAGACCAGATGATTTAGGTCTCCGTAAGTTGGAGTGGCCAGCTTTAGCGTGCGGAAGCAAATGTCGTACAGGGCCTCGTTGTCGATACAGAACGTCTCGTCGGTGTTTTCCACCTAAATACCTTGATTCTCTGAGGTATGCATAACGCGAATTTCTAGGGGCCAACCAGTTGGTGTGCCCCGGTGGCTCCCCGTAACCCTCCTATCCCCTTTCCCCCTTCCCCACCACATGGCTTCCGTAGCGCAGTCGGCAGCGCGTCAGTCTCATAATCTGAAGGTCGTGAGTTCGAGCCTCACCGGGAGCAATTTTTTTGCTTTTTGTGGACCGAGACCCTTGGGATTAGCGCCGTGCCTTGTTTTCATCAGATTTTGCTTGCTTTTGCTAAATAAACTAGTTCGTCTTAGGTTTAGTTACTTTTAAAAATTCTAGCCAAACACGTGTAAATCGAATTACCCTTGAAAATAGAATCCCAGAATTCTGAAGGAAAGTAAGCAAGCAGCACCCCAATTTAAAAATGTTAAAATATACTCAAAAATAATTATAAGAAAACAAACGGAATGCAATTTCCGCCACAATTTTTGCTTACCAATTGATGCACAGAGAGCGTCGCGTTGTAGGGCTCCACCACAGTGTCGGACACCTGGAATGAACAGGCTTATCGGCGCGCTCAGCCACGTGTCCTCGGTAGTATAGTGGTGAGTATCCGCGTCTGTCACATGCGAGACCCGGGTTCAATTCCCGGCCGGGGAGAATTTTTTTGCTTTTTGGCCCAAAGTTATATATAACATTAATGAAACGAATGGGCATGTATTGAAAAGTAAAGGGCTCACTTTTGGGGATGGAACAACCGAAAAGGTGTTCATGATGCGGTCCGGGTACTCTTCTCGGATTTTGGAGATGAGAAGCGTTCCCATTCCGGATCCGGTTCCACCACCGAGTGAGTGTGTCAGTTGGAAGCCCTAAAAATAAATTTTAGATTTTATTAATTGAATTAAAAGCACCTGGAGGCAATCACAACCCTCCGCTTCTTTGCGGATGACGTCGAGAACCTGATCGACGAGCTCGGCCCCTTCGGTGTAGTGACCTTTGGCCCAATTATTTCCCGCTCCGGATTGTCCTGAGTGAGGTAAGCATACGTACCATTACAGTATCAACACTTACCGAATATGTAGTTATCAGGGCGGAAAAGGTCTCCAATCTGCGAGGCTTTGATCGAGTCCATCGTGCCCGGCTCGAGGTCGACGAGGACCGCTCTGAAAGTTTGAATTTAGAAGGGACCAGGGTTGAAAAACCGCTTCGCGGCTTTTCAACCCTGGCCCCGTCCAGGACCTGTGAAAGTCCTTAATTTGCGTGTTTCTCCCTGAATTCTAGCAAGAAAAAAAGTGAAAAACGGCTCCTCTGTCCTTTTATATAGGCTCTTCCTACTTCCGGCGCATGCTAATTTCCCCTAACAAACAGGGTTTTACAAAAATCTTTTTTTAGTAGCGAAAACCACAATTTTTCAAAATTTTTATGTGTGTGCAGTCGATTCCGGACCATTCTAAACCTAATGTCGTTTCTTCCCTATCCAAAAAACCCTTCCCCGAGGCTGTAGGAGCGGAACATCCCAACGGAAGTGCATGCAAATATACACACACACACACAGACACTATTTTTTTATATATAGTAGGATAGTAGGATAAACCGTAATTTCAGGCTTTAGGCTTATTTAGTAATCCTGTTAAGGTATCCCAATCAACCTTGGCTTAGATACCTCGGCACATATTTCGCATCCTGGGCCTCGTCGTAGTAGACGTCGATGCGCTCCCGCTGCAAATCGGACTCCCCTTCGAAGTGACCGTCCATCTGCACGCCATGCTCGTCGGAGATCACCTCCCAAAACTACAAACGGCAAGGGTGTTGGAAATGTAATAACGTTCCGATACCTTGGAGCCAATCTGGTTGCCGCACTGGCCGGCCTGGACGTGCACGATCTCACGCATCGCTAAAGCGTCAAAAAAATTAAAAGGTAACTGGACACAATCGCTCAAAAGGGCTCCATATTACTGTGGAAATTCGCCATACGAAATGAAAAATCGTGTTATTTGTTTCTTATTTCAGCTCAATGCACTCAACCCGGATTCGCCAAAGTTCGCCGATTTGACAAGACAAAAAACTTTATTTTCGACTTTAGCACACCGTTAAAATCGCCCGGCTCAAAAATTTATTTCTCAACTTCGAAAATAATGGACTTCCGCGAATTTATATATGCGGTTTGGGGTGGCGCCGCAAAACAGTGTGCTAAAAACGAACAAACGGCATCGATTTCCAGAGATATGGACTTGAAAACGCTGAACAAACCTCTTCGAAAAACTCGTGAAGCCCAAGAAAATGGACTCACCACGAATCTTGGCCGGTCATTTGCCAGCCGCCCGCCTCCAGCCACTCCTCATGCATTCTGGAGCATCTTTTTTGGGGGGATGGGCGGAAGCTGCCCGCTTCCGCAGATGGCACATCCCAATTGCCGGGCCGTCCCTCCCTTTGGTGGGGGCACCATTTAGGGGCACAAGAAATGAGATATTTGAGGGTCTATGCATCGACAATGCGCCCCCGGAAGACCACTGCAGCCGTCTCCATCTTAATGGCCTAAAGCCACGAATTGTGATTGCGGGACGGACGTCTCGCAACTGTTTGCTAAGGATTAGAGGTGATCGGGTGCAGAAGCTTGAAAAGAGACAGGTGCTGAGAATGATCAGATCTTATATATTAGGGTAACACTTTGCTTTACCCCCCCAGCCGGAAGTTTCAAAACGTTTTTAGCTATAACTTTTTCATATCACGTTATTTTGGCCTGTAATTAAAACTCCTTCTCATTTTTTTGATGCTTTATCGAATGGCGCAGGCAAAATCCCGACAAATAGCGGAAATGTCGATTGGGAAATGTTTTGGGTACTTCCGGCTGGGGTAAAGTAAGGACCGGCCGAAATTAGAATAAATTAGCACAAAAATTAGTTTGCATTCCAAAACTTAGAATAAATTAGCATAACCGATGGCGCGACCGTTCTGAAAATGCATTTCCCACTCCGCCGACCATTTCGGCTTCCCTACTCGGCCATTGATGAGACATCGATATCGATTTCCTCTGGAGCCAGGTGGCGCGATGCTGCTGATCGTCTACTCGCTCATCCTCGCCTCCCTGAGTTCCGTCAACCCACAAGCGGAAGCGTCAGTTGCTTTGCTACTCGCTTGCCCATTGAAAAACAGCCTGCGAGATCATGCAAAGCCGTTAGGCTGCGTTTATTGACATATCAAACTTATGCTACATATTGTATGAAAAAAACAGCCCAGAACGATAGCCTCATGATGCTAAAAGTTGTGAATACTCTCACACAAAGGCCATTTGCGTGCAGGGGAATTTTGACCTTTCAGTGATGGCCTTCTTCCACAATCGCCAGACTACACCATCACCTTCAACGACGCTTCATCCACCCTTGTCGCGGACAGCGACCATCGGATTCGCCGGGATGATGACGTACTCGCAAAATTTTGGGTTCTGGACCTTTAGCGGGGGGGGGGGATTTTTAGCGGGGGAGGGAACCAAATTTTTCCTTGTCATTTTCTTCGGCCCATAGCAAAATATAAACCTTTTTATATAATTTTACATTGTTTTTAGATATAAAAGAATACAACAAATCATAGAAGTTTTCGAAAAATATTCACTTTTCGGTCAAAAATGTATGAAAAATTGGCTACGTTTCAGTTTATCCCCCCCCCCCCCCAGCTCCTCAGTCCTATTAATGCGCCGAGTATCTGAAAATGCTCGCCATGGTCGAAAACCTTTAAAAAACGCCAAAAATTGTTAGAAAATTGGTAAGAGTTTACTTCCCCCCCCCCCCCACAGCCGAAGGGTCTCAAAGCTTTCGGTATTTTCGCTTATTTGGTCGGGATTTTTGCAACGCCATTCGATAGAGCGTCTAAAAATATACTAGGAGTTTTAATTTGAGCCTACAATATGGCCAAGTAAAATAAAAAAGTTATGGCCAAAAACTTCCGGCTGGGGCGGGGGTAAAGTAAGCTGTAGCCAGAAAATGTTTACAAGAATTTCAAAGTTAAAAAGTTTAAGCCGCAGTAGTACGGTGTACCCGGTGTTTCCAATTCAAATATCTTCATTTTGCGACAATTTTCGACTCAAACGCACTGTAGGCGAATTCTTCAGAGCAAGAGCTACATTTTAATACCATTGACAGCTCTGTAGGACTAAAAATCGCCGAGATACGAAAACTCACTTTGGACCTGCAAAAAATTTTTTGATGACTTCTAACAATCAAAAACTATCAAAAACTATCAAAAACGATCAAAAACACTGTAAAATACAGAATACATCATCAACAGGTGGAAAAACAGAAAGTGGTTCCCCCCTCCTCCCGCCCCGCCAAGGATCCCCCCTCTAACAGTCCAGAACCAAGGTTTGTGCGGCTGTCCTACGATAAAAACGATCAAACGAATAATTGTTTCAGTGTGAAACGCGCCTTTTTCTTTGCTATGCCTATGAGCATCTTGCCAAGACCGGAGCCGAGATGCCGGGATGGCTGAAGCCAAAATGTAGCACCGTCTGTGAGGTCCCGACATGTGAACCTGGAGTTTCAACCGGGGCCGGCACAAGGCTCCTCGTCATGCTCGCATGCCGGCCAAACTTTTGTGTAAGTAGAACTCAACCATAGCACGTGTCCCGTAAATATTCAGGCGGCCGAAGTAGGCGCAGAATCCGATGCGGCTGATTGCATCCTACCTGTTACGATCAATAATGGGAAAGGTTTCACTTCATATGTATTGGAATCATATTTTTTTTGATAGATAAAGTGATGTTTCCCTTCAACCTGTGCACGCGAGAAATGCTAGCCGCGGGAAAATGCGACGGGAAAACCTGGTGGGCTTTTTGTCGTATTAGAGATATTCTAAATAGGAGCACGAATATATATGTGAAGTCCTTGCCGACGTTAACCAACGAATACGTGGTCCAATGTGATGCTGGCTTCGTAGTACCCGGGTAGGGCTTTTGCTCGTGTGCAATCAGGGCCGTTTGGAGCGCAGGGTCGCAACATTCCCTGCCTGCCCCTTGGGGCTCTGATGGATAGTTTATCTGTTTTGCGCAGCCTCTTACCTCAAAAATTCCCAAATTTTTGATGACGTTAGCTTTCCTTCGCTCTTCGTTTGGCGTGGTTCTGCTGTCTGCTTCCTCCCTTTTTGTATAATCCTGTAATGTTTTTTCTTTTCAAAAATCTGGCCTGGGACGCTGTTAGTAAAAACTTTTTTGCCTGCTGCGCTGGATAGGCCAGCAAAAAATGTACGTCCCCCCCACGAAATTTTGGCTTCCGTCCGGGCCCGGCTCTGATGTAGGCCAGATGTTTGTTTGCTTATTTAGAGGCCAAACAAACAGATTTTACAAGAAAAGCATAAAAACTGGTTGATATTTCAGTGTTGTCCTCAAGGCAATCGCGAAACACGGTCAAGGACTGAACGCTCCACAGAAGACTTGTGTCCCGAGTCTCCACATTGCCGCTGGATACGCAGATGCAGATCAATCCCCGTTCACCACTTACTCGTACGATGTGCGCGATCCTCTGAAAATCACCGTATTGAGCCATTTATTTCCTGCAATGGTATATTTAGTACTGCGGCAACGGCGGACGCCCCCAAGGAGAAAACTGTGAACCCCTGCCAATATGTGCCCAGGGTGGTCAAATCCCGTACGCAATTTTGGGATGTCCACCCAAACTGTTTTTTTTCAGGCAGCCGCCGTTTCTCACAACGGTTGTGCTCCATGCAACGAGCTGTGACAAACCATGCGAATATCAATACGGTGCTACCTACGAGGGATGCGTCTTCTTGGATATCACGAATCCGGGAGGAAAGATTCCCTACTTTACTGCTCGTCGAGCTTTGGTGAATTCTACTGGAAAGATGCGGGCTTACTTTTGATGTGTTTCCGGAACTAAAGCCCTCAATTTCTTTCAGTCAGGGCCGTACGCCGTGTTGATGGACGAAGAGGAGAACCTACTGCTAGGGGCAGTGGAAGAGACGCCGGCATCAGCATCGAGTACGGCAGCCGAAGCTCCTGATCCCTCCACTACGGCATCTACTACAAATGGCACGGAAGAAGAGCATTTCTCTCACGACGACATTCATGAGGTATGGAATTTATCTCCTTCCCTTACTTGCCCTTGATTATGACCATTCCGACAGTCATGAACTTGGTCTAATTGCGTTTTTTCAGACATTCTCATCTGAATTCGATGGCCGCCAAAACCGCCGTAATCGACGCCAAGCTACCGAGAAGCTACAATACCCCCGCTGCATCGACATTTCCGGACTGGCGGTAGTCGTAGAAATCCCGTAGAGGAAATTTAGCTTTTCCAGGCTGAAGACCGGAGGCGCGTTGAAGCGGACACTTTCCTGGACTGCAACAAGAATATCTTCGTCGTATTCCGGAACGGCGATACGAGCGGTTTGATCCTCAACCCACCATCATGTCAGGGAAGCAACGACAGTGTATGTTTTGAGCATTTGACAAATTTTTTGAATGGAGCAACTCGGAATGCAAACTCGTTCCAGCGAATCTGCACAAATCGCGATGGTACCACCAGAACCTCGCCGCCAAATGTAACTACTACGGCCGCTGCTCTTGTGTCGAGTGAAATGCTGGTCTGGCTAGGTGCAGGTGAGCGATGCTACCTCTTCCTCAGCTCAGGCCCTTTTGCATCCAGAAACTGCTAGCTTTAGGTGGTGCCGGCGTGTTCCTCCTGATCGTCTGCGGTGTCTTGTTAAGCTGCGTGCTGAAAAAGTAGCCATCCGGATCTTTCCCACTAGTTCAGTCTTTTAGGAAAAAGCCAGCGGAGAATCTGGAGAAAGTGGCGGTCGTTTCACAAGCTACTCCGGCCGTTCCTGAACCGCCAGCGGTGGTTCCCGCACCGGTCGCTGTCGTTACTGAACCAGCTCCCGTCGCTCCAAAGCCGATCCCAACGGCTGTCGCGCCGACCCCGGCCGCTCCCAAACCGCCCCCAGAAGTTGTCCGACAGACACCGGCCGCTCCCAAACCAGCCGTAGAAGTTTTCCAAAAACCCCAGGCCGCTCCCAAACCGGCCCCGGATGCCGTCAAACCAAAGTCGGCGGTCGCCGACCCGACCCAACCCGATCCCGAATCATCCATGCAAACACCGCCATCGGAAATAGTCGACCTTGCCGAGGGGAACTACCAACTCATCACATCCAACATCGTCGGAGGACACAAAGTGCACATCAAGGCAATGGTAAGACGGCTTGAGGATTTGGAGCATAAGATCGGTTCCGGACTCGGCTTCAATAAAATCATCATCTTTATTGCACATCTTTGGGAATGCTGCGTCTGATGAGCTAGCTTTGAGTCAAAAAAAACGGGAAAGCAAAACAATTTGAGCTTGAAAATCAGTATCAGCACTTGGGGAAGTACTACTCAATGTATCCAGCTCTTTCCGATCTACTTGCGTTTTTTAGACGGAAGGAACTGCACGTCCGATGGAATGCGAACCAGGCCACTACGAACTGGCTGCACGTGGATTCGCGCTCAGAATCGATCTCGAGGAGCTGGTGGGTCCGAGTTCGGCAAAAGTGTTATGCGTTTTGTTAAGTCGAAACAGACCTCGGTGGAAAGACGTAACAGAAGGTCTGATGAAGACTTCTTGATCTTTGAAATACTTCTGCAATTTTGGATCTCAGAACAAAATTCTGCAGTCTTGATCAAGCTATCTCTCTAACTCTCCAGTGACTAATTTTAAGATGCGCACAAAGGAAGAGGAGAAACGTGCGGAACCAGCCGCGGATAATTTTGAAGGCAAACGCCTAAACGAGAAGGCGGTGGCGCAGAAGATGATTGAAGAGTTGAGCAGTGACCGATACCTCGGTCTACCTATCGATCACAAGTCGCTTACAGACAGCGGCGGGGTAACTTTCTATTGTGAAATTCCAAAAGAAAATGTGGTCGTGCTTTCAAAGTTCGTTTAAAAATTATGTTGACGGCGTTATGCGACGTCCCCACTAATGCACAGCCAAGAGCACTGGGTACTGGGATAACTTGTCAAAAACGCTTTTAATTTGTTAGGAACTTTTTATGTCAACTATGTGACATGCTTAAAGAATGGGTTATGTCAAAGTATACGGGAAATATAATTGGCATAATTACTGGGAAAAATTTGTTTCTCCCGCGGACGGTCCAATATCGGACACTGTCGTTGGGCAGACGGGGAAATTGGGTGGATAATGTATTTTCTAAAGGCGACACCGGACATTTTTTTGGTGCAAGCCATGTCTTTCCTCCTAGCTATTCCATAACGATCAATGCAGCAAATCTTCTGCCCAAGCGCCGACGAGCTGAAGGCTTTATGCGACTCGGTCATGCTGCGGTTCAAAGCCGAGAAAGGAGTGGCGAGGCCAAAGGGAAGAACAATGGTCGTCGGGGATATTAACGGAAATGTAAGCATTTCATCAATAATTTCATCAATTCCTCTAGTCTGACTTTTGCTGCGGTTTTTATGCGTCGCTTTCAGATCAACGATCTTTGGCGCGCGATCCATGCCTGGCTGTCCGATGTGGTGGACAAAGGGCCCGGGCAAAAGTGAATTTTAGAGACGATTTGCGAAGCATACACGCAATTTTCTTTAGCATCATCTTCCTGGGCAATATCGTTGGCCCTAGCCGCCGTCAATTCGAATGTCTGATACTGGTCCTCGCCTACAAGACTCTCTTCCCGAACCAGGTATGAAGGATCAACGCTACGGGTGCTTTAGGATTTGCGGGGGAGAACTAACTTTTCCTGCCGCTCCCAATTGGCCTATTAATCGATTATAAGGTGTTTTTAGATAATTTTTAGTAAGTTTTAACTTAATTTAAAGTAGAAGCATTTTGAAAAAGTAAAAAATTTGATCATTTTGGATCGGAAAAACAAAATTTTTGAGTTAAAATTAAATTTTAATCGAATTCTATGCCCAGTAATAATCGAAAACAATATAAAATTGCTCCCGCTGTTCATAAAAAATCTTGGCTGGCGCCGGAAAAGGTTGCTTCCCCTCCCGCAAATCTTAAAGAAAACTCGAAAACTCTTGTTAGTCCGTCCACGAAACTGTCCGAAAAAAGTACGTTATTCCGAGATTTTTGACCAGCCCGGCAAGATGCCGTATTTCCCTAAATTGGCCGGAATTAGCCTTTTGCTTTCCTCTTCCGCGGCAATTTTTTATCCTCTGATCGTTTTTCGAGCGGAATAGTTCGGTCCTGCGTGCGGAACTAATTTGACCCGAAAGATCTGCTTTAGGTGTGGATGCTCCGTGGCAGCCATGAAGAAGTCCCCCTGAACAAAGATCCGAAAGAGGACAAAAATACCACATGCTACGACACCTTCTATAGCTACATAACTGGTGCCAACTACTGCAAAGGGGTGGAAGAGATGTTCTTCGCTTTATTCGATAATATGCCGAATGTCGGACTGATTGACGACCGGATTCTCTGCGTCCACGGCATGATAAGTATGTTCCATTCGTTCTATAGCAACCGTTGTGGGGATCGTGTAAGCACTAACCCCGGGATTGTTTGGGGGAAACGGTATGTGGCAGCGAAAAATTCTTTCCGAAAAACCGAAATTGGCTCGAATGGGCGGGCAGTGCAGGGGACAGCCATCGGTATTTGCGCAGAAGGAGTCGTTTTTAGGCGCTTTCGGAGTTTCGGGGCGGCACCTCGCCAATTCGAGACCGAAAAAACCCTGATCGCTATCCCGCCGTCAAAAAGTGCTGATCGATAAACCGTGTTTTTAAAAATAACCGCCCACAAGAACGCATTGTTTCAGCGCTCGAGCTCACCAAACAGCTTCTTCAAGATGGATGGGATGTGGCCGCTAAGCAGTATGAGACCATGAACAAACAGCTGAGATGGAACGTTCCCTCCGAACAAGTCGAATTGTGGGTTAGGCGTCACTTTACATTAGGGGTCTTTCGACCTTGCCGATTTTTTGTCACTAGCCATCCGAAACTCATTTCCTTTTTGCTTAGAGTGAAGTTTACCCCCCTCACCGATCCGGTGCCCAACTTTTGCATCCCTGTTCATCTACGGGTGTGCAAAGCATACCAAAAACTTTGTCTTGCTCTGACGAATATTTTTATATACTTTACACACCTGTAGATGAACAAGGAGCTGTGATACGGTTGGTGGGTGTCGGCTTGGGGGGGGGGGGCGCGGGGCAAACTGCACTCAAGCCTCCTTTTCTGCTTACTACGATCCTGATCGTTGATCCTCACCCTCGATTTTAGTTGCGAGCGGAACAGCCGTCGCCAGTACGGTAACCGCTTGGGGCCAAAAGCCATCAAGGCGGCAATGGAACGGCTTGGCGTCGAATTCGTCATCAGTGGTAGCCAGGTTGGTTTGATAATTTGACCTAACCAACTACCGGCGTTTATCTACATACTTTTTGCTAGATGAGGCGGAACGGCGTCAAACGAATTGGAGATCTCCCGGTTGTCACCATCTTCTCGTCATCCGGCATCCGGAAAGCGGTACGTCCTTGCAATGCCAAGCCCCTCGTGTGGGGTTGCCTGAAAACGGTTTTTTGTGACCAAAATCATAGTTTTGTGCACGAAACGGTTGCTGAGGCGTCGGAAAAGGCAGAGAAATTGTTGAAATGGAGGCAGTTTTCGAGTTAAAAATAAAAAGTATTTCCCAAAAATCTTGGGGGGTTTCCCAACTAGGTCTACGCAACTTGCAACTTGCAGCAACTTGCCCAAGTAGCCCCACCGTGCCATAATAACAGCCGTTGTTGAATATCGATCAAAACTTCATCCCTGCAGGTGAATTCTCCACTTGGCGCGCTTCTTTTCATCGACCCCGAGAAGAATGCCATCATGCCGATCTTCCTCGTCAACATCGACGACAAGATCCAGAGTACGTTTTAAGTCGATGGAAACTTGGAAGGATAAGAGCTGCAAGGGATTCGGGTAACCTCTAAAAATTACTGAATATCCGCTAACTATACTTCGTCGTCCCCCCGGGGGATCCCCCCACTAGGGGGGACCAGGGGGGGACCGCAAAGGGGGGATGGTGGGGGGACCCAGGGGGGGGGGGGACGGTAGGGGGAGGGAGATCCCATCCCCCCTCCCCCTCCCCCCCCCCCCCCAAGTTTTTCTGGCACCCGGATTGCGTAGTCGGGCAAACTAAATCGAACCTTCTAGTTGGAGATCCACATACGTTTTTTGGATAGGCTGATGTTTTTATGTTTAGATTAAGTTTTTTTACTTTTTAATCGATGGAAAATCAGAGTGCTTACCAACCCAAAATTTTAAATAGTTGAAAGGCTGGGCACTCAAATCCTTGAGACTGTAAAAATTTGAAAATTAGAGCAAATTACCTCGTCGGGGCTCTCGGCATTAGAGAACATTCGACAACCACGTGCTGCTGTATTTTAAATGATCAAAAATAGCAGCTCTTTAACAAGTGTTGAGATCTATCTAACCACACATTGCGCGCACTTGCGAGTCGGGGGGGGGGGGGGGGGGGATCCCCCCAGTGGTCCTCCTGGTTTGCCGTCCCCCCTGGTCCCCCCTGGTCCCCCCACCATCCCCCCTTTGCGGTCCCCCCCTGGTCCCCCCTAGTGGGGGGATCCCCCCGGGGGGGACGACGAAGTATACCGCTAACCATCCATTAAAGGAGCTCCGAAATCTAGTCCACGACCTTCTGCTTCGATTCCTGGCGCAAATGGCCAGATGCGCCGCAACCGCGCCACATGATCTTTGCCCCCGGTTCGGACGTGCAAACGCTTGAAATGAAAAATTCTGACGCTAGTTCTGGAACGCTCACCAAATTTGGGCAGTTTAGACGTTTTAATTAAGAAAATTGGTGAAACAACCACGGAAATCGAGAGATTGGGTGCCTTGCAAGGCATTACGACATGTAATCTCCGCGCACTCAAAAATCGTTTTCGCTTCGCCAACTTTCCGGTTTTACTCGACTATTTCACGTCTCTTTGCAACGAAATCACTTTTCTGGTACTTCTCGGCAGTAATCCTATTGTTTGTTTCAACAGTAGGTGGAATCCCGCAGACGCGAATTTTGACTTCCGGGCCCCTTTAATACCGGTTAAAATTTGCACAAAGTCAGTTTTTTCGGCATGGCCTTTCGTAGCCAGGAAATGCCAAACTTGCCCATAGATTAGCCTCTATTTGCTGTTTCAGCGCAAGAGGAATTTGACGAGAAGCTGGCTGCTGGATGGAAAATCGACAACAAAGAGAAGACGAGGCAGTGAGAAGCATCTCACCACTCGTCCACAACAGCATCATTCCCAACAAAAAACTTGACTAACCTATCGACCGTTTACATACTCGTACATACCGGCTTCACCCCCTTTCCTTCCGCATAGACTTCGTGCCATTTTGATTGATTTGTTTCCTATGAATAAACGGTGAAAAATTCATTTTTGTGTGTGCCGTATCTTTGAATAGCGCTGGTTCATCGTTGGTATGGTCGAAACGTTGATGACCTGTCGTGGAAGCAAGTTGAAAAGCTGGGGTATTTTGAAAAGACGTGACGTATGGCGGAGGCCCTGGCGCAGGAATCGCGTCTTGTCTCGTCCTTGAAAACGGTAATCATGGGCAGGGGCGTAGCCAGAAAAAAAAAATTTCGGGGAGGTCCGAAATTTTTTTTCCGAAACCTCCAAAGATTAACGAAAAAACAGCGCCGCAGGCGAAAAATTTTAGAAAAAAGGCTACATAGCTCTACAAATAGCAGTAGAAACGTACAAGAAATAGAGCCACAGGCAGCAAATTTTTTGAGAAAATAAAAATTATAACTACAGGGTGTCCCAAAAAAAAGCACCCCTCTGGCATTTCGCCGTATTACGTCCCAACAGTCCCAAAATTGGACTGGAGGTGTATCAGACCATAAATAACCACAATCCTGAGTTATAGCCCGATCGCTACAGTAGTTTTCGAGTTATCGTCAAATCACTGTTTTTTACGCCGTTCTTAACAGTTTTTTCGGCTATCTTTTTGGACTTTGCATCGATTTGCATCGACTTCCGGCTGCGAATCCCTAAATTCGCTTAATATCGGGGGTGACTTTGCGTTACAAAAATTGTTGAAATCAACGGTTATTTCACTATTTTTTATCAGAAAAAAATCTATAGGGTAAAGCAGGCTTCCCGCTTCATTTTCTCCATACATTCCAGGGCTCAATTCCGGCGGAATCCAGGTTAAAAACGGATAATAAAGTTTATTTTTATTGTATCTTGAAGATTACTGTAGCTGGCGGGCTATAACTCAGGATTGTGGTTATTTATGGCCTGATACACCCCTGGTCCAAATTTCGGACCGATCGGATGTAATACGGCGAAATGCCGGAGGGGTGCTTTATTATGGGACACCCTGTATTATTATTACCCCCCTTATGAAATTTTCGGGCCCCGGCCGATTTCGGGGGGGGCGGCCCCAGGGGGCCGACCTTACGCTACGGACCTGATCATGGGTACCAGGGTACCATAATAAGTATACATGGGTCGACGCTTGCATGCGCCGCATAAGCGTGGCTGGCCACGCTCTTCCGGAGCGTGGAGCACCACGCTTATGCGGCGCTTTACGCGTGCTTTTTCACGCGCGCGATTTAACTCCAGATGCAAATCAAGAATTTAAAGGATATATATTTATGATTCGATTTGCAAAAATGAATTGCCGATACATAACTATCAGGGTCATCTTTAAATTTTGATAAATAAACAAGATAGATCGTGATTCAACTTCTTGTTAGTTAAATTCTCGAAAACGGATCGATTTTTGCTTAGATGTCCCTTGGAAAACTTTGATTTTGCATTTTTAGAAGCTTTGCATAAGCGTTTCCGGAGCGTGGCGGGCCACGCTCATTTCGGCGTGGTTTATTAAGAGGCGCGCGCGCCAGCGTGGCTCTCCACGCTCCGGAAGAGCGTGGCCGGCCGCGCTTATGCGGCGCATGCAAGCGTCGACCCATCAACTATAATAAAAAAGTAGTGGCGTCCGTCCGTCCGTCCGTCCGTCCGTCGTGTCCCGGATTCAACTCGAAGGGGAAAGGAGCTAGAGCTTAGCTCTCTTCGGATTCGGATAGAGCGTGGTCAGAAACCCCCAAACTGATAAAAAATTACGAAAAAGTTTTTGTTTAAATTATTAAAATTAACTTTGAAAGTGGCGCCTTAATAAAACGAGTGGGGGCCCCTCTCCCCGGGAGGCCACGCCCCCTTTCTCTTCGCCCCTCTTCCCCAGGCCCCTTCGCGCGCCCAGATGCCTTTTTGAGTTACTTTAATACTTTTAATACTTTTTAATTATGTTAATTAATTATTTAAATTATTTAAAGTATCTAAAGCCATCAGGAAGGTATTGAGGTAGTTTTTGAAGGGGATTTCAGCCATGGGGGGTATCTGAAGCCATCGGGAAGGGATTTAGGTAGTTTTTGAAGGGGATTTCAGCCATGGGGGGTATCTGAAGCCATCGGGAAGGGATTTAGGTAGTTTTTGAAGGGGATTTCAGCCATGGGGGGTATCTGAAGCCATCGGGAAGGGATTTAGGTAGTTTTTGAAGGGGATTTCAGCCATGGGGGTATCTGAAGCCATCAGGAAGGTATTTAGGTAGTTTTTGAAGGGGATTTCAGCCATGGGGGGTATCTGAAGCCATCAGGAAGGTATTTAGGTAGTTTTTGAAGGGGATTTCAGCCATGGGGGGGTATCTGAAGCCATCGGGAAGGGATTTAGGTAGTTTTTGAAGGGGATTTCAGCCATGGGGGGTATCTGAAGCCATCAGGGAGGTATCTAAGTAGTTTTTGAAGGGGATTTCAGCCATGGGGGGTATCTGAAGCCATCGGGAAGGGATTTAGGTAGTTTTTGAAGGGGATTTCAGCCATGGGGGGTATCTGAAGCCATCGGGAAGGGATTTAGGTAGTTTTTGAAGGGGATTTCAGCCATGGGGGGTATCTGAAGCCATCGGGAAGGGATTTAGGTAGTTTTTTGAAGGGGATTTCAGCCATGGGGGGTATCTGAAGCCATCGGGAAGGGATTTAGGTAGTTTTTTGAAGGGGATTTCAGCCATGGGGGTATCTGAAGCCATCGGGAAGGGATTTAGGTAGTTTTTGAAGGGGATTTCAGCCATGGGGGGTATCTGAAGCCATCGGGAAGGGATTTAGGTAGTTTTTGAAGGGGATTTCAGCCATGGGGGGTATCTGAAGCCATCGGGAAGGGATTTAGGTAGTTTTTGAAGGGGATTTCAGCCATGGGGGGTATCTGAAGCCATCGGGAAGGGATTTAGGTAGTTTTTGAAGGGGATTTCAGCCATGGGGGGGTATCTGAAGCCATCGGGAAGGGATTTAGGTAGTTTTTGAAGGGGATTTCAGCCATGGGGGGTATCTGAAGCCATCGGGAAGGGATTTAGGTAGTTTTTGAAGGGGATTTCAGCCATGGGGGGTATCTGAAGCCATCGGGAAGGGATTTAGGTAGTTTTTGAAGGGGATTTCAGCCATGGGGGGTATCTGAAGCCATCGGGAAGGGATTTAGGTAGTTTTTGAAGGGGATTTCAGCCATGGGGGGTATCTGAAGCCATCGGGAAGGGATTTAGGTAGTTTTTGAAGGGGATTTCAGCCATGGGGGTATCTGAAGCCATCAGGAAGGTATTTAGGTAGTTTTTGAAGGGGATTTCAGCCATGGGGGGGTATCTGAAGCCATCAGGAAGGTATTTAGGTAGTTTTTGAAGGGGATTTCAGCCATGGGGGGTATCTGAAGCCATCGGGAAGGGATTTAGGTAGTTTTTGAAGGGGATTTCAGCCATGGGGGGTATCTGAAGCCATCAGGGAGGTATCTAAGTAGTTTTTGAAGGGGATTTCAGCCATGGGGGGTATCTGAAGCCATCAGGGAGGTATTTAGGTAGTTTTTGAAGGGGATTTCAGCCATGGGGGGTATCTGAAGCCATCAGGGAGGTATCTAAGTAGTTTTTGAAGGGGATTTCAGCCATGGGGGGTATCTGAAGCCATCAGGGAGGTATTTAGGTAGTTTTTGAAGGGGATTTCAGCCATGGGGGGTATCTGAAGCCATCAGGGAGGTATCTAAGTAGTTTTTGAAGGGGATTTCAGCCATGGGGGGTATCTGAAGCCATCAGGGAGGTATCTAAGTAGTTTTTGAAGGGGATTTCAGCCATGGGGGGTATCTGAAGCCATCAGGGAGGTATCTAAGTAGTTTTTGAAGGGGATTTCAGCCATGGGGGGGTATCTGAAGCCATCAGGGAGGTATCTAAGTAGTTTTTGAAGGGGATTTCAGCCATGGGGGGTATCTGAAGCCATCAGGGAGGTATTTTGGTAGATTTTTAACGGAATTTCGACCCGGAGGGGTATCTGAAGCCATCGGGAAGGTAGCTATGTTTTTGTGGGGGGGGGGGTTGGCTAGAGGAGGTATCTGAAGCCATCAGTGTAGTTATTGCCATGAAGGCATCAGCGTAAGGTAGGGATTAAATGTGGTGGTGTAGAATATGGAGGGTGGCCCGAAGTCCAGCCGATTGCAGTCGCGAAGCGGCTGTAATCGGCTGGTGTATAATAATAAGCCTAGGGTCGGTAGACGCACTTACCTTCGAAAATCAGAATAAATTAACATAATCGGTCGCCCTACAGTCCCCAAATACCATTTGTCGATCTCACTGTAAAGTACGGCTGTCCCTACGCGCGTATCGATGAGACGTCGTCATCGATTCCCGATGGAGCCTGGTGGCGCGATGCTGCTGCTTATCTACTCGCTCATCCTCGCCTCCTTCAGCGGCGCCAACACCCACAGCTACACGTCAGTTTTTTCGAGTTCAAATTTCTCCCCTCGGCGGATCCCTCGGGGGTAAAGTAGAGTCTTACCAAAGTTGCGTTCGGCTGAGGTGAGGCGGGAGCCCTTGTAAACCATGTAAACCGTTTGTGGTGATCAGAAATCCGATATCATTTTGAACTCCGGCTTCATCATTTCAGAGGTCGCGACACTCCGCAACCGCCAGACTCCCACCAGCAACCCAACCGAGCTTCATCCGCCCCCTTCGTCCACAACCACCATCGGAGTCGCCGAGACGACCGACTTAAATATGTCAGTGGCCGATTTCATCAAGGTTTTCATTAGGTTTTTGAACGCCGGGGGAAGGAAGGTGCCGACAGCACCTAAAAGGGATTTCCCGGTCCCCGGCCAGCACAGACATTACCCTCGATTTAGTGCCGAGGACGGCCATTCCTTTGCTACGGCTACGAACACCTGGCGAAAATGGGCACCGA